TGATCGTGAGCAATCTCGTGATAGATTGGCTGGTGATGATACACAGCATTATGCTGTGGGAGAAGACAGTGACAGCGATGAGGAGAGTGAGGAAGAGAGTAGTGATGATGAGAAGGGTGAGACGAGACCATTGGGCGGACGTTGATACATGATTTGGCATCGTAGCAAGCCATTTGGGTGCTTTTTTGCATGGATAGGCGGAGTTTTATGTGATTTGTCTTATCTATGTTGGTATATTGTGCTTTTGTCAATAGACCTTGGATGGCGTTTGGTACAAAATGTCAATATTGAAACATGTGGTGATTCTTGCATCAGACCCCAATTGTTCGTAGCGATATTTATTCTCGAGGCCCTTGTTCACGATTACCGACTTTGCTATTGCCATGAATGTCTTTCTTCTAGACGAGCTACTTTAGTCGAGTCCTCGTCGCCATCATCTAAGCAGCAGCCCAAACGCCATATCCTAATAAACGCCGAATAGAACTTCAATCCCCGCTTCCCTCTACGCACTCACGATCCCCTCTTTCTCCATCTCCTGAACGTACTTTTCCCAAATACTAGCAACCTCACCATAAAACTCAATATGCGCATCCGCAAGACCGCCCAGCTGACTCTTCATCTCAATCCTCTTGATGCGCTCAAAGTCAGCCACCTCCTTGACAACCTCATCATCAAACATGTCGCTCGTTTTGCGAGCACTCTCAACCTCGTGGGTCAGCTCTTCGACGCGGAGTTCCAGCTTGCGCGTGCGCTCGCGACGTGCTTGCTCGTGGTCTACGCCGCGCACGTCTTCGATCTTGGCGCGCAGAAAGCTTCCGGCGCCGGAACCGCCATGATGTCCCGACTGCAGGGTGTCGCGCTCCGTGGTGGATTTGTTGAGATATTCCGTGAGTTGTTCGTAGTCGAGCTGTTTCTGCTCGCGGGCTTTGAGGAGATTTTTGAGGGCGATGGAGTAGGCTTGCATGTCGCGCAAGGAGCCCAGGTAGTCTTGGTCGGTGACGTCTTTGAGTTTCCGTAGGTGAGTCGCTGTGTCTTCGATGGAAGCGGAGAAGCCGTGAACTGCGGGTTCGACATGGGGTTCAAGGGGGATGAGCTTCTGGAACTGCTCTGCGAGATCTCGCAAGTCCACCTCCAAGTCCGTCTCTCGCCTGGCAACCCTAGCAATAACCTTCTCGATATGTCCAAGGTCATCATCAAGCTTATCGCTCTTCTCCTTGACCTCAAGGAACCGACGATCCGGGCGATGCAGCTTGGTAAAAGCATTGATAAAGGTATCAGCAAAGTTATCAAATACCCCCGCAGATCCAGGATCACTAGCAGAGCTACCTCGCGCACCACGACTGCGCATGGTAGCATTCCAGTCGGGGCTCTCGAGGAACGTATGCAGGATCGGAGCGCGGCGCAGCGTAGGGTGGAGAGAGAGTCGGTTCAGGAAGCGCTGGAGGGAGTGGGCGCGACGGGCGGTAAAGTCAGAGCCGAAGCGGTCGCCGCGGACATATTCCATGCGTTGCTTGTCGGGCAGAGGGGGTACGGCAGCGGCGGGATACTCGCGGGTGAGTTGTTTGTAGAGGAATACGAAGTCTGTGAAGCGACGGCGGACAGTTGTAGTTGAGCGCTGGAAGGCAGAGAATGTCGACTACAATGGTCAGTATGAGCGCATGATAGGGTGGTTGAGGGTACGTACGTGTGTGGTGATGAGATACGAGACAAAAGCATCCTTGGTACCGTCATTTTCCTTGATGGGCGTTCCAACAGTACACTCCAACACCTCATTCCCCAGCGACGGAGCATCTATCTCTAGACCCGTCCCGGGCGCATTCATATCATGGCCTGGTTCTTCCGCGGGAGGAACAGTGCGGGATGTCTGGTCGTGGACGTGTTCACTCCACGAGACGTTGGAGAAGTCGTCTTGTTGCTGTTCCATGGCCGTCATTGCGGTGCCAATGTGTAAGATGGCAGTGCGAGCTTTCGATCAGGGTCAGGTGGAGGATTGATGTTGTAGCGATGTGAGGCGGTTGGAGAGGAAGGATAGTGAGGTGACGTTGATTGAAAGTGGGCGGAGTTGGCGGGAGTTGGTTCGACTTGAAGCTTGGTGGTGCTAAGTTAAGTGGTAGAGGTTAGGACGTGGGGAGCTGGGGTGGCGCAGGGACCGCTGTAAGATAGAGAGGGGCTTCTACGAGGGCAGTGATTCTAGAATATCACCACATTTTCTATGTCTAGGATTATAGAAACTGGATGAGACTCTTCTAAATCTACTCATTCCTTTATGGGACATTTCTCAAATGCATTCACTCATATTTGGTGGCCGTAGTGATTCCTCGTCATCACCTTCACAGGTATCCCTCTACCAGGATCTACATTAGCAAAGACGATGACGCAGCTCAGCCAAGTCCAAGGGTCCTCGTCCCAAAGGCATCGACAGAACATCACTCGGAAATAAGTCAACTCAAAATTGCAAGTGTTTATGGCAAATCAATTATATATACAAATAAAATCATTCAGTGGAATCTATTGCTTCCCGTCGAGAGTGGTCTATCCCAAACAAGTAATACTTAATCTTCGGTCCTCTCAAATGTCGGGGGCCAGTTTTTGATACAGCAGCACAGCGCCTTATTCCCATCCCGCCTTGATGCCATACCAATCCATACAGTCATACATATGAAAAACACACACACCAAGTCATGGTACATTGAGCCTCGGGCTCACTTCACTTTCCTCCCTTCTACTTCTGCTCCTTAGAGGCCCCAGAGCTGGCGTGAATCTCCCGCTCTAGTGATGCAGCAGACTCAGCAGCCTTGGCCAACTCCATCTCGGCCTCGACCATCTCGCTAACTTGCTTCTTGCCGAGACCCTCGGCTTGGGCCTGGGCCAATCTCTCCTCCTTCTCATCGATATCGTCTGTGTCTCGGGGAGTGGCGAAACCGGAGCTTTGACTAGCCTGGTCCTGCTCCGCCTCGTCCTCAATGAGATCCTGCTGCTCCTTGATAACCTCGAGTCGCTGCTTGTTAGTGGCAGCACCCTCAGCACTGTGCACCTCAAGCTCGATCTCGTGGTACAGCTCCTCGGGAATGGCAGACATGACACCGATGAGAGCCTCAATCTGGTTGTAACCCTCACCTGAACCTTGGCCGTACATATAGGCGTTGCTCAGAACGAGAAGTGTTGAGGGAACACCCTCCTTGAGTCGGAGATCGAGCCAAGTTTGAAGGTCCGCTCGCATGCGGGCGGGTGAGACACTGTGTGTTCGGATACCACGAGCAGCACAAGCAGCCTGGAGCTCGGCAACGGTCAGACTGTCAACACCCTCGTAGCTGATGGCCTTGTCGTCGCGCTTGATCTGTCGCATACGGTGGCGAATCTGATATCGGAGCATCATGTCGGTACCGAATGTGTTAAGGTTCATATACTTGCACATGGAAACGAGCTGAGGTCGTGACAAGTTGTCGAGGGTCAAATCATCGCGGAAGACCTTGCAGACCTTGATAACGTCCTCGGCTGTGGGTGTCTCACCAGTGGCGCGAACTTTGCGGAAGAAGTTGGAGAACTCCTCTTTTTGTGTTGTTGCTTGACTCACTGGCAAGCCAGACTCGCCGAGTGTTTGTCTTAAGAATTGGCTGACTTCCTTGCGTGTGGATCGGAGGAGTGTGGCCTTGGCCTCCTTTGACTTTTGTCCCTCGAATGTGCTGGGGAGCATGTTGGGGAAGAGCTTGAGGGCAAGAGGCAGAAGTGCCTCACCCAGAGGAACGATAATGAAGACGGAGAAGGGCACTAAACGACCAAGATCCTGGACTGTTCGCTGAAGTTGCTTGTTCTCACGTCGGGTGAGCTCGTATCCGGCAGCCATCTTGAGGGCCAACCGCCAGCTGATCTTGACCTCAGCGGCGAGCAGCTTAGACCCATCCCAGTAGTGGTGAGCCTCCTTCTTGACCTTCTCCCAGAGAGTAAGTTTCTTCTCCTCCTTGGCCTTTTGAGCAGCATCACCTTTCTCCATCACACCCTCCTTGGTGGCCACAACTTCTGTATCAGCCTTGGCTGCGGCAGAGGCATCGGCGGGCTTCAATACAGCAGCGTCCTTGGGGTTCGAGTCGAGCTTCTTGTCCTCCTTCTTAGCAACAACAGAGCCTGCGGAATCCTTGGGAAGCGGCTTCTTAGCCTGCTCGGCATTGAATCCCGGGGGCGGGCCAGAAGAACTGGGGTCGTGTCGGTGATGATCGGTACTCATCGATCGAGGGATCAACAGAGCAATGGCAGGGACTTTGACGTTACGACTGACGTGGCGACCGAGGAGGGCAGGAGTAACACCCCGTGAGAGAGCTCGGGCTTCGGTGAGAGTTAGCAGGGGACGTAAACGACACCTCATCAAAAAGGCGATGCTCACCATTGCCCATCAAAGGGTTCCGGGCAACCGCCCGGCGAGCGACATTGGAGGAAGCGCTCATTGCGAGCAGAAGTAGGAAGTAGAGGGAGGATCAGATGTGGCGGATAGGGTGTAGAGTATAATTTCGTAATCTCGGCGCAACGTATCGATATCAAGGGTCCAAAATGGTACAGCAGAACAGAAGAGAGTGAGATAAGTTGAAGTCGGAGATAATGAAGAAAAGGGACGGAGTGGATGCAAAGTCGAGATTCTCCAAGAGCCCGCTAATGGCGAAAGGGTGTGGTGATGTACAGTAGAGTACCTAACAAGCCGTACAATAATGGAATAGCAGTACTCGTGGTGATGGGATTGGATCAATGGATGAGCGCAGAGCAGGCTAGCTCCGTCTTCCCGCCGACCGGGGTTCGCCGCATTCGGGACGGGCCCTCTATTGTTCCGGCAGGGCTTACAGCGAATGCATCCAATCCCTGTCCTCTGCTTGCGATTTACAGGGGGCTTGCGTCAACAGAATCTAGAAGAAACAGTACGTCACGTGATGTCCGGTAGTGCCGAGTGTATCCTTTTGTTGGGAGAGAGAGCGAGAAGTTCTTTCAAGTCCCCCTCCCCTGCATGTGACAGGTCTCAACAATGGATAAAGCCCGCTCTTATCTCCGCTCTGTGTTTGCTGGAGATGCTCGAATTTACCGCAATGTTTAGCCGAGTATATGTGCTGTGATGTGGTCTGTAGATATTGGCAGTAGAAAGGGCCTCATTTACTTGAGTTACAGTCTGAGTTGGCAGGTCAGCATTGGCCAGTCACCTCGGAGATCATGAAACATAGGCTCAGACGCTTTGAACTGTTTCCTTTTACGTTTGATTGGTTTCAGTATTTCCGGGCCATTTAACCTGCATTCATTAGCCAAGACAGTCTCACTCCGCGTTTACGGCCAGACGTGGCTTGAGTCTGATGCGTTATTGACTTGTTCTTGACAAACACAAGGTCAATTAATGGTCAGAGTGATATCTATCATTTAACTACTAAGAAAATGTTTGCAGCTTGCACCAAGGTGTACCACTACTACTAAAACACAGCCTTCACTGTCACTATTCAGACATCAATGCATCATCAAACAATCATGTATACGCAAACAGCTCATTTTAATTACAGCCCCTTTATCAAGTAAAGCTATGGCATTACAAATCATCTCACCATCATTTCATCTCATGAATACCAACTATGAACTGTCACACGTATCCTTATACCTCAATCCATGGCCAAACTTAAACAAGGCCTCCACATCGAACGGAATGTCCTCTTTCTGAACCTCGGCAGCCTCCTGAGACACAGGCAGATCAAAAGGCAGTCTTCCCTCAGGACCCCAACCGTCTGTTCCAAAAACAACATCCAAGAATGCATCGTGGCTGCTACCGTAGCTACCGAACAGCGCAACAGCCTGCTCAGCGACTTCAGGTACTGCGGCTGGTCGGTTGAGTCTGATGTCCACGACAGTTGGGAGTGTCGCGTAGATCTTGGCTTGGCGAGCCTTTTCGGTCGTGTTGAACTCAAGGCTGCCGTTGTTAATCATGGCGGGAAGACCGGGCGCTGTGGTGGGCTTGAATGGTGAGGCAAGGCGGAGGAAGGCATAGTCTGCGTCCTCAGGGTTCTCGACAACGCTGAGATTGCGGGATTCCATGACTTCGGGCTCGATTCCCTCAATGTAGAACTTGGCGTTGAGAGCGGACAGAGGAAGAGGGAGGACGTCATCCTTGTTGGTGAGAAGAGTGAATGCACGGCGCTGTGTCTCGTTTCCAAGACGGCTGAAGTAGTCGTTTCCAGCAATGCGCTCAGCCTTGTCGACATCAACGAAGGGGTTATCGAAAAGACCCAGCTCAAACTTCTCCTTCATAAGCTTGCGAACAGACTCGTCAATTCGAGCCTCTGAAATGAGACCCTTGTTGACAAGTTCAATGATAAGCTCAGGCTTGGTCTCGCCACCAAAGATATCGCATCCAGCTTCGAGAACACGACGAGCGCGCTCAAGCTCAGTCTGGTCTTCAAGACCCCAGAATCGGGTAGTCACGATACCCCAGTCGGTAACAACAATGCCGTCGAAGCCAAGCTCTTTCTTGAGGAGATCGTTGACTACACCCTTGTTGAAGCCAAAGGCAACTTCTTCCCACGACGTATTGATGGGACGAGAGTAGTAGGGCATCATTTGACGAGTACCAGCTGCGATGGCGGCCTTGAAGGGGATCAAGTGGTAGTCTCGGTTGTTACCAGGGTAGGTCTGGTTCTTGCCCTACACCTCACTGTCAGCAATTGTTCTACCATTAGAAGGATTATTACTTACCCAGGGAAAGTGAGAGTCCTCTCCATCCTCCATTGGACCACCGCCGGGGAAATGCTTGGTGGTCGCAATAACAGAGTTGGGACCGATCTTGTCGCCCTGAAGACCCTTGATGTACTCAACCATCAAGGCACTGGTGAGGTTGGCATCTTCTCCCATGGTGCCGGTGATACGGCCCCAGCGTGGCTCAGTAGCTAGATCGACTTGAGGATGTAGTGCCTGTCGAATGCCAACAGCGACGTACTCCTCACGTGCGATCTCAGCGAACTGACGGACCAGCTCTGGGGATCGCAGTGCAGCGAGACCAAGAGGCTCAGTCCATCGAGAGAAACCCTGTGCCACAACGCTGACAGCATTCTCATCGGTCCATCCGTGCTGTGGATCGCTGCTTATTGTGACTAACAGGTCATCAGTATGCTTAGGAGTTAATAACGTCCAAGGCTACTCACTTGGGATGCCCAGGGGCGTGCTCTGTGAGAGTCTCTGGAGCTTATTGTACCAGTTTGCAACACCTCGAACATCATTCACACCACCGCTGAGGACGTAGTGAGTGATACGCTTGCCGGTGACAAACTCCTCGATGGTCTCGTCAAAGGTGTTGTTGACCACCACGGTACGGCCGTGGAACATCTGACCTGCCTTGTCCTCAAGGGACATGCGGGACATGAGGTCATCAACACGCTTGTCAAGACATAGAGTCTTGTTTCTGTAGGGAGGGTTGGCATCTTGTCGAACAATTGGGTTGGCTATGCTCAAAGACACGCCTCCCAGAAGGAGAAGACTTGACCACATGGTGAAGTTGTAGAAGAGAGGTAGATAGAAATCCGAGTCTGTGAATCGACTGGCTCTATACAAACATCCGGCCGATCACTTCATCTTATATACACTCACTCTTCGTCAACGTCTCTCCATATCCCGAAGTTTTAGCAGACCCGAGGTCATTCACTTACACTCTCACCATCTTGGCCATCGCAAACTCCATCATCATCATCTTCATTCGGACCGACCTTTCCAACCCTTGCTTCTCTCAGTCTAACCTCACAGCACAAAGTATCGAGCATTCGGGAGCTATAAGTCAAGTCCGGAACTTATAAAACCCAGCTATGGGCACTGGTCCGACCCAATCGCAACTCATTCCGACAGAGCTGGCCGAATGAGAAGACCAGATGAGAAGACCCGTCTCCGTAATGCCAAGAAAATAGGCCGATGAAAAACCTGGTGGTTCATGACTAAAAACGCCGTGATTCTCATGATGCAGAGGTCCAACGCGGGGATAATCTGGGGACGGCGCAGGCTCTAAACCGTTTAAACATGCGGGGAGCCCATATAAGTTTTCGGCCCTTTTAGCAGAATGCAAATCCCATGACGGTCAAGAACCATGCGTCTTGTACCGAATGTCTGGGTGCTTATACGATGGAGGTGTCACCGGTAGTGGGTGTACTCGTCTGCCAAGACTGAGTTGTCGGATAACATCCGGGAATCGTTCAGGCGTGAGGTTTACATTGCTGGAGGAATAGATGCAGAGAGAATTGTTAGCTGTGAGGTTGGTGGTCCACATCCCGATGGTTTGTTAGTCAATGGGGATATAATTCCGCTGATCGTATGGGTGTAACACCCCACGATTATCTAAGATGTTCGGGAGACATGCACGGCAATTGTGAAACGTGATGTTGTTTTTAACATGTCATTTCTCTATAATGCTGAGCATCAAAGTCACCATTGCCTGTTTCACAATGTCATCACCAATAGTGGAATGCCTGGGCGTACAATGAGTGAGAAGTTCAACGAAGTGGTTGTTAATCTGATAAGGAAGAAGCTCAAAATTAAGCTTAATCGGACTCGTTGGCGTGGTATGTGCGCCTACACTTGACAACAACGGAGTTTTGGTCAAGTCTAGCCGCACCCGCACCGCAACTTACCGCCGCCGCGCCGCTCCGCTCCGCATTATCGTCCCGCATCCTTGATTACAACTCCGGAGTCCTCAATATCATCGAGGCTTGAGAGGTAGGGAACCTTCTTTGCCGTTGGTGCGCTCCGTCCGCTGTCCGTCTTGATGACTGGCATCACTGACACTCTTGTTCATGACGGCACGACCGCTTGGTCGGCCTCGGGGACGAAAATAAACTCATCAAATAGCCTTCTAAGTTTATCCTAAATTACCCTAAGTTATCATAAACTTACCTAAGAATTTTTAACGTCCAGGATTGAAGAAATCCGGAGCCCTTGGGGGCAGTTGCACCACGGCCCGCGGTGGATGACGACGTTGAATCACTGGGGGGATTGAGGTCCTGTTATCTAGTGGCCCTGCTGGTAAGCATGACTTGTGGAGGCGTAGCCTTAAAAGCCTTCTTGATGATAAAATGCCTTTTGATGGGACCTAGCCGCCCATTGTACTCGAGCTGCAGTTCTGGACGAGCTGATCTGTCGCTGCTTGGTCGCCTTCCTCGATCGTGTCCATGGCCTCGTTGAGGCACATGGCTCTTGCCAGGGCTGCCCTCTCAAACTTGAGCTCAACCAGCATAAGATGGCAAGCATACTGCTGGGCCTGTACAAGATACTTCCAGCCCGCAAGCTTTCCACCCCTGCTACCGGGTTTTCTGGACTTCTTGAACATGTTGTAGGCGTCATTGGACCGCCTTCGATCCTCAGGGTCGAGAGCGAAAGTTACAATGCGTTTTCGACCAAGCATTGGGAACTCCTGTTCGATTGTGGTCTGTGGTCGACGAAGGCTGCAGGCGTCGAGCATCTGGATATATCTCTCTCTGTGGAAGCCTTCAGGGAAGTCAGGGCTTGAAGACAAGCTCTGGAGGAACGCTGCCTGGAAGGGGAGGAAGCTGGTTATTGGATGGCCGTGGAGCATACTTAGAAGAGCATAGCCATCATCCCACTTGTTGTCTAGTGGTGTGCCTGTCATCATGAGACAGCTGTCGAACTGAAGTCTGAGAGTTAAGATGGAATGGTATGTGCGGCTCTCTCGGTTTTTGATTGCATGGGCTTCATCGAGAATGAGCCATTCTCCCATTGGCCTTCGGGGCTCCTGATCAAGCATGCCAGAGAGTAGGACTAACATGGGCCGCCTCGGTAGTTGGGCGGCTATACCCTTCTTATATGCGTCAATGCTGGTGATGATCCCTGTTTATTCTTCTTCTTCTTCTTCCTCTTCTCTCTATTGAATAGATTAGAGCAGTAATAATAATAGAGGCAGGCAGTTACATCATGGTTGGGCACGGGCTCATGATAGCCGTGCCCATGTTGAGGTAAAACTCGAGACCACGATCATAAGTGTAAAAAATGCTTAGGCAAGCTTAGGATCGCTTTAGGCAATTTTAGAGTAAACTTAGGAGACTTTAGATCAATGATTCTTAATACAGCAACATAATTTCTTGAGGCTTTCTACTCCCCGTCATGTTCATCTACGAAACTTGTCATCCTACCCTAAAGCTGACGTTACCACGATGACGGCACGCTCGCTTGCACGGGTATGTACAGTGGCTTGTAATGCCGTGTGCCGAGGTGTCCGTCCGTCGTCTTGGAAAATCCGGGGTTCTTGGAACGCAAATCTGGCAAGCTTGATTGGTTAGCAAGGAACACACGTGTTAGGCATCATTCTTGGAATGCCGTTAACGCCAACTCTTTCTAGGGTGCACTCTAGAACGAAAAGAGACTCGAGTATTTACTATCTTTGTACTCGAGTTCAAGTGTCTTCTAATATGGATTGCACAAGAGGAAGTGTTGTGCTGCCGAGGTCGTATACAGCGATCTCGGACTTTGAGCGATGGTGCTGCATGTGTCGGATCAACGGCGCCAAGAAGGAGGTGCACATTTATTCCCCAGATCGACAAATGACACCTCGAAATGACACGGGATAATTAACCGTCCCCTTCCCTTCCCATGTTTTCTGTTTCGATCTCGAACCCCGTACCGGACTTAAGGCAAAACCACCGATTCCCTTACCACCCCATTCATCATATGCCACATCTTCCGGAGTCCGAAATGTCCCGGTAATGGTTCAGCCATATTCCATAAAGTTACCTGTATAAAACTCCAAGAATAGGACGTTGAAAGTCTAGATGTTAAAGACGGCAAGCCACGGTTATAGACTCCGCCATCAAGATTGACTTCTCGAGATTGGGTCCCTGCCCACCCTGACCGTTCGCTCCATCGCACGGTCCACACCATCTTCAGTGAACGGTACCTGTATCGTCACTGAATTACAGGCGATGATAGAAGTACCGCGCTTGCGACTTGGACTCAACACCAACAGCGCTTTGCCTCGCCCTATCTACACTACATAAGCCCCCACTTCCAACCTTGCTCCCATCCACCTCAACTCAACGCATCTCGTCGTTCCCTCTTTCTTGGTTATAAATCAAATCCATCGCTCACTGTTGTTTTGTAATCCCGTGGCTGCTTATTCCATCATTTCCTCTCCCTCAACCTCTTTATCCTCTTATACACTCTCCCCGCCGTTGCTTTTTTTCCGAACTCAACAATCTCCCCGCGCCATCTCCGAAAGTATCGTCCCATCGACCCTCAACAAGAAATTAAACCTCGAACGACTTTTTGGATCCGCACCTACGACCTTGTTTTTATCTATCGCATAGAAGCGCAGCTTTTTTCTCCTTCTGTTCCGACGCTAAACTTTCCTCAATTGTTTCAACTCGCGACGGCCTCAATCGTTACAGGTCGCCTAGAATGAACCTGAACAAGGCCGCTCGCGTCATCCTCTTTGGTGCACCTGGCGTTGGTAAAGGGACCCAGAGCGAGCGATTGCTCGCTCGCTTTCCTCAGCTCAATCAGATCAGTACTGGTGATCTCTTGCGTCGGAATGTCAAGGAGAGGACACCCCTCGGTAGATTTCCCCTCAATTGGAGCATCTAGGCGAATGCTAATAATGAGACAGGCATCAAGGTCGAGAATACGATGAAGTCGGGTGGTCTTGTTGCTGATGACCTTATTCTGCGACTTATTTCCAACGAATTCTTCACTCGAGGCTGGCTTGCGAAGAATGGTGGTCCGAACGTCATGACTCTTTCTTCTGAAGCGACGGCGATGGAGGCTTCTTTCAATAGCGCTGCTTCTGATCCGTTCATCAACGCTCCGTTCCTCGACGGCCACCGTCCTTCCAAGGCCTCCAACGACCCATCCGCTTCGTTCATTCTCGATGGTTTCCCTCGAACAGCTTCCCAAGTCGGCCCTCTCGACAAGCTTATCCCGATCAATCTCGTAGTCTCGCTCAAGACCCCCGTATCTGTTATTCTCGAGCGAATCCTCGGACGTTGGGTCCACGAGCCTTCGGGCCGAGTCTACAACACCAGCTTCAATGCGCCTCGAGTCCCCGGAATCGACGACGTCACCGGCGAGCGATTAATCCAGCGCCCCGATGATTCCGAGGAAGTTTACAGAGCACGATACAAGAAGTTCCAAGAGACCAGCGAGCCTGTCCTGAACCACTACGCCCAGAAGGGCGTCCTTGTCGAGATTGAGGGCATGAGCAGCGATGAAATCACCCCAAAGCTATTTGCAGAGTTCGAGAAGCGCTTCGTCCATTGAAGGAAATACCCTATGGTTTCAAGACGTTTATGTTATTACTAGTATATGACTTTTTCTTTCCATTCGCTACGGTTTAGCTTTTGTATTTTGTTATTATAGGAGTTTTATTCTCGCGGCTTGGGATGCTGCTGATGGGAGTTGCAAAAGACAGGACTGGAAAGATTCCTTGTCAGATGGCGCGAACTGTTGGGAGCTGCTCGTTGGTTGTCCTTGGAGGACATGGTGGCGATGGTGGAAAGGGATGGGATTGTCTCAACACAACTGCACCGGTTTTGAGCGCAGGAATGGGCATGGTTATTGCCTGAATGATATCCACACATCGACCCCTTCTTTGATTCAAATCGCAAATGTGACATGCACGACCTTAGAGTGATCGAATTACAATTCATGTCGACTTGAGATTGACATTGTGAGAATTCCGCTATATGTACATAAATTTGACCCATGAATACCCCTAGAAACACTGCTAGCGCATCGTGGCCAGAATAACTCTCCCTCTCTTCTAACGCAGTTCCATGCAACGCGTCACATCAAACATCGCACTAAAATGGCAATGCAGTAGCCCTTTCAAGATATTCCAAATAAACAATCCGTCATACTCCGTCCGAGTTCATACTCGCGTTCGTAAAAGTGATGTAAGCTGTAGTTTGGCGTGGAAGCTTGGTACCTTAGTCGCGCCAACCCTCGCCGCCTTGAAGACCGCTGGGCTGGCCTTCTGTTTGTCCAGGTCGCAGTGGTGTTTGCTCATCGTCGTCATCGTCGAGTGCTCGCGCAAGCTCATCGGGGTCTTGCATCTTGGCGTCAGGGTCGACTGGGCCACCGAACTCGTCCTGGTCACGGTTGTGTCGGTCCTGCTCGAGAACGCCGTCATCGGCACTGACTGAGATACCGCGGGCTCCCCACTTGGGACGAGCTCCTCGTCGGCCACCTTGCTCATCTTCAAATCCACCAGGGCCACTCTCCTCGTCATCATCGTTGTTCTCGAAGCGCTTTCCGAAGATTCGGCGGAGGAGCCATCCGCGGGACATATCATCGGCGTCGACAATGCCGCCACCGCGAAGCTTGACGCGCTGGCGGGTGTAGTAAACCCAAGCAAAGTCGATGTATAGGGCAGTCTGGATGATGCCGAAGATGACGGAGACGGTATTGGGCTTCTTGCCGGAGATCTCGAATTCGCGGATGAACCAGTTGACGCAGTAGAGGGCGCGGTAGGAGCCGAGAGCGACGAGGTAGAAGGAGTCGATAACGGTGGGGACGGTTGTTTGTCGAAGGAGGAGAAGCTGGGGGAGAACGCAGACGGACTCGAGGATCTGGGAGAACACCCACATCCACTAGAAGCTGTTAGTGATGGTGAGGTTATTAGGCAACAGTAACATACAGGTCGGAAACCCTTGTGGCTCTCAAAGATGAGCATGACGAATGGAGACAAGACAAACGAGCCACCGAGGATGATGGCGCCAATCTTCCAAGCAATCTCACGCTCACGCGATCGAGGGTAGATCCATTGCATAATAGCAAGGATGTAGATAGACGAGATGATGTAGAAGATCTTGAACACGATGTTCCATGGTACCGTCTCGATGAAGAGGTCGAGGTAACGTGTGCAGAAGACGAGGGCGTAGAGGATCTGCGTGATGAGGGAGACGCCCTCAGCGCTTCGATTGCGATGGATAGCGAAGATGAGGATGCATTTGGAGAGGGCGTGGGACAAGTCGCCCAGGACACGGAAGAGCTATGGTGCTGTCAGTTTGTCGTTTTGGTAATGCATGATGTTTCGCAGACATACGTTCCACGCGCCCATTGTCAAGGGCGGGAAAAGGAGGTATCGGCCGTTGGTGTGTTTGCGGCGAGCGACTCTGGAGAAAGAGAATACGAGATGCGAGGTGGAATTGCTGGTTGATGGGAGGGGTTGAAGATGACAAGTAGCCGGGTATAAGGCTAGTGGAGGTTGAAGATGAGGGAGCTTAGGCAGCTGAGCTTCAGCTTGGCGATGCGATGGACGGAGGAGGAGGTGGAGACGAGCAGTCTAGACTGGGCAACCTTAAAACGTGTCTGGGGCATTTGAGCTTGCGTCAGTGTCAGCGACAGCATTTACAAGGCATGAAGAAGCATTTTAAGCCACATCTACATCCATTTCCGGACACGTGCGCCTCATTGATGCCTAGAAAGAGGTTGATATAATTTATATAAATTGTTGCGATGTATTGAGAGATAGAGACAGTTCGTCTTATCGATATGATTTGAGCTGGTGACGCGGACCTAACATCGGATGTGCTGGAACCGGGGGCCCCGCGGACACCTCAGTATGGAAGATCAAACAATTGTTTGTACGCTCACTGAATCGTGCAGACTTTAATCTAATCATTCTCTACACTTAAGCGGCGCACCCTCTTTCTCTTGTACTTTCTAGCTCAAGTGATACTCTAATGCTTCGATTCAGGTAATCCCTCACTGGCTTTTAGTTACAGTGGCTCTCTCAACGTCATTGCCGCACGCCCCCTTTCAAGTTACGAGCCAGCCTACGAGCGAGCGAGCCTCTACCCCTGCAGATCTCCAGAAACATCACACAGTCCACGTAACCAACCTAAACTGACTATACGCGTTGACCATCGAGTCCTAACGACCACGTGTAGTGACATTCTTCCAGGCAGACAGACTACGGATTTAATATGAGAGTATCGGCAATCATTGCCGTCGCCCTGGGTTGGATCACCAGCGCTAGTGCCTTTGGAGTCCCCGACGTCCTGCAAAAGATTGAACAGAAACTTCCAACCAGAGAAGCTCCTCCACCGAAATACTTTAGTGAGTTCACCTTTTTGGGACCTTATGCCCAATGGAATTGGTCATCGTATCCTAAACGAGAAGGTCTTTCTTTGACTAACGAGACTTGCAGGGGAAGCATCGTGAGTTACCTACCAACAGCCAACACAACGCCACACAGAAAACTAAGGCTCGCTCAGACAATATCCCCACTATGATCTGAGATATTTTGGTGAAGCCCTCGAGCCACAGCTTCAGAATGCAGGCATCAAAGTCCTCATGCAGACATACCTAGCCACGTTTCGAGATCTGGGAGTCCAGACCTGGTTAATGCATGGCTCCCTTCTCGGCTGGTGGTGGGGAAAGAAGGTAAGAATACGGATATCCATAACTTCACATGTCTAGACCCTCTTCTCTAACCGAAAGGATTTCTCAGGTCATGCCATGGGACCTTGACGCTGATGTCTCAGTTACTGAGGCAGACATGTATTTCCTCGCTGCCTATCATAACATGACCATCTACTACTACCAGTACGATGGTTGTCCGGAGGGTTGCTTCTTTCAGTTGGAGATCAACCCGTATCATAAATATCGTGAGAGGGATGATTACATGAACTTCATTGATGCAAGATGGATCGATATGCAGAACGGCCTTTTCATTGACATCACTGCAGCGAGGTATGACCCGGGGCATGAGATGGGTGTTGGGGTTATGTACGACAAGCATGACCATGAGTTCAAGGTGCGTATATATGGCAATGATTGTTGCCTTGTGCTAAAGCTTCATGTGACAGGACAAGTACATCTTTCCTCTATTAGACACCACCTTCGAAGGTGTTCAAGCCAAGATTCCGTACAGGTACAAGGAGATCCTGGCTTCGGAATACGGCAAGGGAGCATTGTCAAAGACTGACTACCATGAGTATGATCTTCCAATGCAACGTCTATGCGTGTCCATGGGAACTGACAAGGGGTTAGTCACCGATTCGATGCAGAAAGGATGCAGTGGGTTCCTATGAACTAAGCATCAACTGTTATTTGTGTACCTAGGGCCATTGGCTGCTTGAAAGGCGTTTAGCTCTGTTGAGCAGGAAAGGCATATCAAGGATAGACCGGAAAGGGATATAGAATACTAATGATACCCAGCTGATGACGGCTGGCCGTCTTATAAAAGTCTTGGGTCTTTGTTTACTTGGTTATTGAGAGCAGAAATCCCTCTGGTTATGATGGGAGAAATTATGCAGATCTTTCAAATATATAATAGACACAAAACCTAAGGGAATACTATATAACATCATGTTCTAGTCTTTGTCTTGCAGACGGTCATTGGTCGATCAATTTGGCCCATCAATCAATTAATTGCTTCAATGCCCCGCGGTTATAGAACGCGTCTCACCCCACGCGTCACAAGCATATCCAAACAGTACTCCATCAACATCACAATTAAAAACACCCAATTGCAACATCACCAGCGCATTCAACCCAAACACTGACCCTGGACAAAATCGAATGCGCAGAGAAAGATATAGGTGCGCTTTTTTCCCACAATGGCCACAGGTATGCCAACAGCGATTCCCATCACCAAGCAGTTGATCAAGTTGCTAACACAATAAATAGGCCAACAGCGCCGCGCTGACCGGCTGAACGAGCGTCTACGAGGTGCCCAGTACGAACCAACCCCCATAATTCCCAAGGTATCTGTGCTAATGCGACTCAAGGCGTGCCAACATCGAAGATGACTCCTTCAACCTCGACATCGCTGGTCTTAACATAGCTGGCTCGACTCCCGCCGCACCTGCACCCGCACCACCCACATCGTCAGCCCGCCGAACACCAAATACTTCTGCTAAGAGAAGAAGATTGGAGAACGAAGCGCCGCCGTCTGCACAAGCGCAAGGAAGCGCACGGAGACGATCGCCTCGATCGAGAGACCCCTACGATCTACCAGAAACATCTAAGGAATCTGGCGCGCAGGATACGACAGGTGAATCGCGAGAGGAAGGACCGAGTCTTGATGTGGTAGAGGAGCCGGAAGCAGAACCCGAGGAGGAAGAGGAAGTCGAACCGGAGCCACAGCCAGACTCCGAATTACCGAGCCCAGAAGTCGAAGCGCCAAACGAGAACGAAGTTGAAGTTGAGTTACCGGTGCTACCGAATAATGAATCTTCCAAACAACCATCGCAACGACGGTCGAGCCGTAGGTCGCTGGAACAGATTGCGCAAGATGTTGCGAACAAGCGACAAGACGTACGCATGAGCGAGGCCATATCGTCAACGACACGATTGCACACGACGCTACAAGAGGACGATACGCCGCCTTCCTCATCGCCGCTGGTGCGCAAGGTGCGACGGAGTGAAGGTCCCACCATAATTCGGTCGAGATTATCACAAAGGCGACCTTCGAGGCTTGCTGAGCAAGATGAAGAAGAAGACGAGCTTTCACCAAATCGAGCGGATCACGCTCCTGCGGATGATGAACAATCAGATGATGCAACAGAAGAAGCAGAGCCTGAAGAGGAGCAGATTGAAGAGGAGCCCGCGGCAGAGGAGGAGGCACAGGAGGAAGAAGAGGTGGTAGCGGAAGCTATCGATGCTGTCGAAGCGGCTAAGGCACTTGGAAGAAAACGGCCTCGAAGGAGTCTACCGTCTCAATCACCTGTTGCGGAGCCCCAGGAGCAAGCAGAAGAAGAGGAGACCGAAGAACCAGCAGCGAAACGACGTCGAGGACGACCATCGAGAAGCCCCGCAACACAGAAACAACCAGCCACCAAACCAAAGCCGCCCAAAACAAAATCACGAACAACACAAGAGAAGCCACTGCCGAAACAGGTCCGCAGGACGAAACAAGCCGCCAAAGAGCGCCGAGTCAGCGACGGTTCAGCAATCGAGGTCACAGTTCAGCGCTTCGTCAACGTCAAGAAGTTCATCAAAGGCGACGATGAAGAAGAAGAAGATCAACTCGCGGTGGATCTGCCTTTTACAACAACTGGAGTAACAGCGGTGGATGTGTTTGCACAAGCTTGCTTGGAAGTCATCGACGGTACGGTTGCGAAGTTCATTGAGACGCTACAGAATACCGAGGAGAAAGATAAGAAGAAAGAATGTCGGATCAAGATCCGGGCACTTGAGGCGTACAAGGAGGAGCTCACGTCTCGATTATTACAATTGGTAAGTTGTTTCCGCCCTGCATGGGAAGAATTGGGACTGACGAGTTAGTCAATTCACCTCATGGACTGGCAATCATTACGGAAGCGTGTTCGTCTGGTACAGCGAGAGAAGTTCTCTTTGCGAGAAGAGATATTACGTCTCAAAGCAGAGAGGGAACAAGTTGCGCTTAAGATGGATGCTGTACGCATCAAGCACGAAGAGGACACCAGAGAGTCAAAAGTGAGTTGACTGATACTTTCATCTGCTGCAACCTCCGCTAACAATTGTAGTACCGACTCGATACCTCAGCTATAATGCATGACATAGACATGGCAGTCGAACGGGGACGAGACGCCCCTGAACTATCACGCGCCCAGGAGAAAAAGGCCGATCTGGCTAACCTCGAGCTTCTCGTCGCACGCATCACAGACGAAGCCAGCTCATCGAGCTCCGCAGGCGGTATGCTCCAACAAGTCAAAAACTTCAACGCGTTTCTCGAGCGCGCAGCAATTGCTCTAGAAACGAGATGAAAACACAACAAGTAACGAAATGAAACGTCTTTTTAACTTCTCAATTGGGATTCGTCATAAGTACTTTTCGCTTGCTTAGTTGATCTTGGCCTTGCTAAAGTCCATCTCGGGATGCTGCTCCTGGAACTTCTTGAGGATATCCGCCTTCTTCTGCTCGTCTGAGCTAGGCAGGCCCTTCTCCTTCTGCTGCTGGTCGAACATCATCTTCTCGACCATACCGCGGGTCTCACCGTCGAGATCTGAAAGCTTGGAGTTGTCGGGCTGGATCTTGGTCACGTCGATCTTGGGAGCGGAGGTGACAACGTGCGCCCACCATTCCATCTTGTTCACCTTGTCGAGGTGGATCTCAACTGTCTTGGTGCCATCTGAGTTGGTGCTGAGCGTCCATGTAGAGTCGTCAACGTGGACGGCGTGGGGGAGGTCGCCCTGTTGTGGGTTAGTTGGTGTATGAGATGTGGCTTGAGCTGTGCATGTACCTGGATGATTGGATCCTGGCCCTTGATACCCGCCTGTAGGCTCTGCTTCTTGATAGTGATGACGAGATCCCTCGACTTGAGGTTTCCGGGTACATTGAAGGTGACATCGAGCTCTGAGATGGTCTGAGTCCACTTGTAGGGAAGAGCAGCCTGCTCCTCGGCCTCCTTTGCGTTAGCAGCGGCGGTCTCAGCGGGTGTAGGTTCTGTGAGAGTCAGTACATGTGAAGCTGTGACTAGCAATAAAATTGCCTATATGTACCCATGAAATGAACCATGAGAATAGTACTCACCGTTGTCAGCCATGGTGATGTTTTTGAAGTTGTTGTGATATGTTCTGAGGGGAGAAATCGATGGAAGCTGTTGGTTATGAGAGAAGGCTGACAATTCATGGAGGGGCACCTAGAAGGTGGGGCCATGTCGTTCTGAGCTTTGACCAATGGGAAACTCCCCGGCAAGCCTGTTACCCCCATCTCTTCAGCCGTGCAGAACCAACATTTGATAGCCACTTATTAATCACTTCTTCGCCATAACAAAGCGATTCATTTCGTCTCCTTCTCTCAACAACCTCACCCTCCACTCAACCCCACATTCAGTGCTCTCGCCAGCCAAAATGTCTCGCGCAGGCGTCTCAATACGCCACGCCACAGATCTCAACGCGCCTCCACCGCCAGACCAAGACGAGACATGTCCCGTATGCAAGACAACACGCTACTTCAACCGGGACATGGAATTCCGCATTAATCCAGAGTGCTACCACCGCATGTGCAAGACCTGCGTCGAGCGAATCTTTAAAGACGGTCCCAACCAATGTCCCTACGCCGGCTGCCACAAGACCCTTCGTCTTCGCGGTTTCAAGACCGCTTTCTTCGCGGATCTTGCCGTGGAGCGTGAAGTCGATATTCGGAGACGAGTGGCGGCGGTGTTTAACAAGGTTGAGGAGGACTTTGAGACGCTGAATGATTATAATGAGTACCTGGAGATGGTGGAGTGTTTGACGTGTGACCTCGTTTATGGCACCGACGAACAGAGGAGGAAGGCTGAGGCGCAACTTGGCGAGTGGGAGGCGAAACACAAGCAGGACATTGAGCGCAACAGACGTCTTGCGCGCGAAACAGACGATGCTCGCCAGCGCCGCATCGCAGCAGAGGAAGAAGAAGCCCGACAGCGACGATTACTTGAACGACAGGAAGAACTCGAAGAAAAAGCCAACGCCAAGCGCTTCCGTGAAGAAATGCTCGACTCTCTTCAAAGCGCCGAGATGGGTCGCGCCACAGAAGCGATGGACAAGATCATGCTCAAGAAACGAGGACACAACAAGCGCGACGCAGCACTCGGCGCAGCAGGAAGCAGCGGTCTCTCTATCAGAGGACTGCGCGAGAAGAAGGCCGTCGTTGTGGAGAACAAGCCCTACGATCCGTACGGCGGCGTGCGCGTCATGCCAGAGCGCGTGGACCTTGCGCCGGAGAAACTGGCGACGTATAGCAACGAGTGGGTCGAGATCACAAGGACGAAGCCCGAGTTCAAGGCTGGAGGGTACAGTCCTGATGAGTATCTCACTCGAGCTTTGTTCGAGGCTTTTTCAGGGCTGGGTGTGTTTGTGGATGAGGAGAAGGTTGAGAAGAGTGTTGCTACGGCGGGCGCGAAAGAAGCGGCTGTGACGGGAGATACAGGGGGTAGAATGGACGTCGATGATCCGTTCTAGTAGATGATTTCGTTGTTTAAACGGGCATAGCTATGGAGTTTGGGAGTTTGGGAAAACACTGAGGGATATAACGGAACTGGAGTTTTGAAGATGGTAAAAACGACACGATACCATGGCTACAGAGAACATATACCAGACACAGTGAATACAGATAAATAATTGATGATAATTGTATTTTTGTATGACTGCTACTATACTAATCCAAAAGGAAAATCACCAGGAGAGGATTGAAGGGCAATTTCAGAAGCATACTGTATCTTCCTGGGTGCTCATCCTGTGGCCTTGCAATCCTCTTTTCGAATCTCATCCCCCGAAAACGCCTCGCTTACTATATGGAAAGGGAGGCTGTTACAGCCAAGAAATGGAAACAAAAGGGCGCTGTGGAAAACGCGATGCGAATTATGTCTTGATTTGAGCTTGTAAGATATGATGGGTTTGTTTGGAACGGCTGCTTCGATAATCTTATTGCTGCCAAGGTGTCTGTTGAGCTGGACGAGGGAATACAGGTACTGTTGGGAGTTGGTCGAGGCCTCCTCCGATAGGCTGCTGGTTAGCTTGCCATCCCATACCTGTGTTGTGGTTGACAAAGGCGCCGTTTCGGAAGGGGTTGGTTGTACCGGTCGGTTGAGGAGCGAGAGCAGCGCCAGCTGTTTGTGGACGTTGTTCTTGGTTTGGCGCTGGCATCATGGAGTTGCGTGCAAAGGGGTTTGTGCCGGTTGGTGTAGGTTGAAGAGCAGGCTGTTGCTGTGGCTGTTGAGGAGATGGTGATTGAAAAGGCGAGTTTGAAGCTTGGGCGAAAGGAGAAGTGTTTTGCTGTGGTGATGTTCGAGCGAATGGGTTTGTAGATTGGCGGTTTAGAGCAGGTGTTGTAGCAGATGATGGAAGACCCGTTTGTTGAGCCATGAGCATAGACTGGCGGAAGGGGTTGGTGCTTCCTGTTTGCATCGGTTGAAGCCCCTGAGGCGATCCATTCTGAACGGGTTGTTGGATCTGAGGGGCAGCGTTGGGAAAGCTGGCCATTGAATCCTGAGGGATTGGTGCGAGTGAGCTTGGTTGAAAGGCTTGTTGAGAAGTGAAACCTCCGAAACCAGCTCCGGTGAAGTCGGGCTGCAATTGGATCTGGGGTTGCTGGATCTGAGGTTGCTGCGGTTGCATGAACCCAGTTTGCTGAGGCTGTTGGAATGGACTGTTGGAGGCAAATCCAGTAGGCTGAGCGGCGAAACCGTTTTGTTGAAACGGCATGCCTGTCGGCTGCTGTTGGAAAGTCTGTTGTTGAGGCTGAGGGTTCATGCTCATCGGTGTCTGGTTCTGTTCGATAGAGTCGAAGAAGTCGATCAGATCGGGATCAGGACCCTTGTTGGCTTGCGGTTTTGACTCTGCTGCCCTATTACCGCTCGGAGACGAGGTGATTTTGGGAAAGGGGTTGTTGGACGCTGGTTCGGGGAAATCGGTGCTCTTCTTCTTGCTGAGACCTCCTTGCTTCGAGCTTGAACCTCCACCAATCTTCTTCACGTCCTGCTCGGCCAAATATTGTCTTCGGTGGACCTCGAAATCGGGATCGTGAAGATACTCCTCCAGCTGGCGTCCAAGATTGACAGGAGCGTGCTTGAGCTTCGGCACCTCGACTCGAGTGTGGTGTTCGTGCTGACGAGCTACGCTCAGATATTGGACGACGTAGTCTGTTTGCTTCGTGAATTTCCGATAAATGGCCATAGCACGTTCGGCATCCACCTTTGACATTTCGAAAAAGTTACCTGAAGGGATTGGAACGTTAGTCAAAGTGGCGGGCTGAGACAGAGGGGGAGGGGCAAACATACCAAGAATGCTGATGAGTCCTTGGTTGAGAACCTGAAATAGTGCCAAGAGATCCAAGACAAGCAGTCGGAAAACAGTTATAGTGATTTCATTCTCTGGCTCATTCTCCATCACCTGAGATCGTTAGTACTCAAGATTCTCTCTCCCGTTACGGTCCTAACTTACGTCGCATTTTAGTAAAGCCTCAAGTTGGTGTTGAACGATTTCCGTCTCCCGTAACAATCCCTTCTCAACCGAAAGCTTCTCAAGTCTTGACTCAGAAGCGCGCACCCAATCCGTCTTCGTCTTCTCGTATGCGCGAGCTCGCTCAGCCAGGTAGTGGGCATAATGTCGAATGTTTCGTCCTTGGATTTGTGCTGCCAATCTGTCAATCCCCACGTCCAGATTCAGTTCGGCATGCGTGGAACGTACCATCTGTAAAGCTGCTAATCGCTAGCACATTGCGATGCGTCGAAAGGAAGGCGAGTGTAACATCGGGAGATCCCTCTCTGATCATCAGGTGAACAGTAATTAGACTTTTGAAGACGACGGTCCATGTTGAATCGCGGAGACGGTATGTGAGAGCGCGAAAGACCTCGCCGACGCCAGCTTCGCCGGAATGGGTAGCTACGAGAATGTGTTCGATGTATTTCGTCTTTGGGGGAGCATTCTACAACATCCGAGATCAGTACCAAGTCGAATTCCGAGAAACAGCGCCTATCGAGGAAAATTGGTTGGGCTCATGATTGCCTCTGATATTAGGCTCATCAAGAGCGCGCTGCCAAGACTGCACACGTACCTTGATCTTCGTTGCGCCCTTGACGGACTTTTCGAAGGAGCTTGACATGATTACAACAGAAGCTCGGGAGCTATATCGAGCTTATAATCGCCGGACGATGGAGGGACAAAAAGTTCAGACGACGGACGTTGCAACGAGCGACGGGGTACGGTGACAGATGATGATGGCCGGGGATCCGAGGGAATCGATGCGAGGATGACGATAAGGGCTACTGCTGCAGAAGACGAGCGAGTCGAGCGTGTCGTGTCGCTTCAAGGTGACCAGCGCAAAAAGAGATCTTGAAGAGTCTTGAACGAAGAAAGAGAGATTGACCGAGAGAGACAACGAGAGAGTGTCCGCATCCGCGCCGGGGGACGTGGACGATTCTGGGGCGTGGCAGGACAAGGGGAGGGGTGTGTGCTGTTCGGGTTGGCGTTGACTTGAGGTTGGGCTTTGGTGGTTGTAGGACAAGAAGGTGGAGATTCTGAGAGAGGTGGATGATAGGGAAGTACCTGTGCCGCCCAGCGATACTCGGCGGTGTCACAATGTACCCTCCAAACTTGTGTCCTCCGGAAAGGTCGTTGACTCCGATACGGGCGGGCGCTACTCTTCCACTGTAATTCCAGGGGACGCTACTGATGTCGTCACCATGGATTCTTCTTCTTTTTGGGGGCACTTCATTTCAGAGGGACTTGATTGCGCCAAGACAGCTCCACTGCAGAGATGGTGATGTTCCATGAGGTTGAAGAAATCTGGGGACTTTTTTGTCTGAGGAAATGCAAATTGAGGCATCCTTGGGCATTTAGGTAGTACAAACACAGTCTGCTTGTGGCTGTTTGCATGCGTGTTTGGTTGCTTGTGTGATAATCTCTTCGCTTCTTCACGTCTCACCAAAAACTCATTTCACCTGATACAGCTCTAGACAAGGGACGGCACATTCACTCTGTCAAAAACAGCAGGTCGCGAGGCACAAGGTTTGTCATTACAATTAAAATACAAAATGCAATTCAATTCCTAGTACAGATATATACGCAAGACCTCACTTGAGGCTCGCTCCCCAGTTCCCTCAATCGCAAAAAAAACCTACCTGTCAAAAAACGGTTCAATTTCTGTACGCTGAGTTGCCCCAGCCGCGCGAACCAAACAAGAATCCTCTCTTTCATTCATAATAAGTCAGAGCTTTTTTCCATCGCGTCCGATGCTTGTAACAAGGTCTGTGTCGAACGCCCATTTCATGGTACCAGCTTCACCTCGCCACGAAACCGCTTAAGCTGCCCCGAGAGGCAGAGGGTTTCGAGGTCCGGAGAGGAGGCACTGCATCATATTAAACACGCGGTTCTCATCATCTGCGGGGTAAATGTTAGCGATATGTCAAAATGCATGTATTTGTGCGTGGTGAAGGACTTACGGTTTCTTGAATGAAGAGGGTCATAAGGAGAAAAGAAAAAGAAGAAGAGAAGGAACACGATCCGCGCAAAATTTAAAGGTCCCGTAGTGGGGGTGCTGGCCCGTGGCTGATCCTCGGCTGTTTTCTCACCTTGGCCCAGCTCGCCCACCCGGCGGCCACCCTATACCTCGCTGCATAACACCAAGGCCAAACAGGTTCTGTACTTGATGTACTTCAGACAACATTAGGGAGGGGCCGGAGTATCCCGTACTGATTCAATGACAGTCTCTTATTTTTCCTACTCTTTAGTTGATCTCATCTCTGTGAGTATCTGATTCTTACTTTAATCTTATTCTCACTTCAGCCGATGTTATAAATTTGATTGCCAATCCACCAACCATGCTCGAGCTCTTCACACACTGGAAGATTTACGTGCATTCGGGACCCAAGAATACTAAAACAAAACTTTTGATAGAACACCTTCAGAATTAGCATGGCCGTCGTCGAGATGTCACTTATATCTGAGTATCTTCCACGTGATCGATCTAGCACGCCATATCTACTGATAAGGCACGATAGACCGTTGAACTCCTTATCTATGTCCAACATTTGTTTCCTGCATGTAGACCTTTCGCGATTAATATGCCTCCTATACGATCTGGTAGAGCCTCAAAAGCATGCGATCTTTGCCGCAAATACAAAACTCGCTGTTACGCTTCCGGAAGCTCAAATGGAACTTGTTTGCGTTGCAAGACCTTATCGCAACGATGCTCCTTGGACTTTAACGGCCATCGACGCTCGGTCTCACCACCCATACGTGAACAAATAGACATTTCACGTGAAGATTCAGCTGTTCAAGGTCGGAGAAGTTCAGTTGATGATAGGTTTGTACAATCGTGGATACGACGAGTTATCATTGACGGTTCGTATAGGTTAGAAAGACTCGAGCGAACAGTCAGCGCTTTAGTCGATAAACTTGATTCGAAACTGGATGAAATTGCCAGATCGTCTAACCTCGATAGAGCTTCTGTCGTGGAAGTACCAGTGCAGTCCACAGAACTCGACCCGGCTCCGGTGTTTTTAATACGAGATGCTGCAACCGATGCAGGAGTTCACTCTCCTGAGCAAGCAATTGCGCAAACAGGACCTCAATCAGACGTTATATCAACAGGACTTGTCTCGTTACAAACAGCCCACTCACTATTAAGACTGTAAGCTATCACTATTCTTAGTTAAATGATGAATAACTGACATGTTTCAGATTCCATGTTCACTATGGCAGATGGGTCAGATTTCCAGAAGACATCCCAACAGACAGACTCCTCTTACAAGTCCGCAAGTCCCCGTTACTTCTTTGCAGTATCTTCTTGATATCCGTCCGGCACACAAGCCAGAATCTGGCAGATCGGCTCGCTCCTAGGCTTTTCGAGGAATCGAAGCGCCTCATCACAACATCGTTACTGGAAGTCCCGCAGACTTTAGAGTTCTTCCAAGCCGTACTTATACTAAGCCTTTGGTCGACGACTATAGGTCAAGTTCCTTTGAGTATAGACAGCTGGTTGCTCACGGGCTATGCGATCCAGCAAGCGCTCGCGAGCCCTCACTTCATGGAAGTTACCCGCCCCGGCTTGTCTCAGCATATAAATAATTCGCTGGATTCTTGGTGTTTGTGGAATCACCTATGCGTCGCTCATCTTCAGTAGGTTCAAGAGTCCTCAAACGAAACGTCTGTTGACTGTAATTTAGGTACTGCGTTGGAACTCGCAGACATTCACTTCTGACTCAAGCACAAGTTGACCAATGTGTCAGTTTCGTCAAGTCTAGTGAGGTGAACAACTACGAAGCGAGGATGGGAGCAGAAGTTCAACTCTATTGGATCATCTACAACAAGTGTGGAATTGCTCAGATTGATCTCGCCGGAACTAAACTCGCTCTCCAAGCATGGCAACAAGACTGGATGATCCTTTTCAGTGAGTTTCTCCTCAAACATTAATGTCAACGCTAATAAACTATGTTCATGTTCAGATGAGCCTAGATCGCAATTTCTACAAATGGGCTTCCACTTCGCTCACCTGCTGGCCCATTGCCAGTCTCTCAAATCACCCAAATCAGTTATGCACAGTTCCGTTCTCAATGAAATGATCAAGCATTCAAAAATAATCATCAATCTAGCCATCGACACAACCGACGATCGGACTCGCCATTTAACAGATCACATTTATCACATCCTCAGCTTCTCTGCACTAACTCTATGCCGAATCGTTCACACATACGAGTCAAAACTGCGAGCTGCCAGTTATGATACCACCGAGTTAGACAATCTCGTGTTTAAGCTGATCAACTGTTTCAAGACCATCGGGCTGCCCTGTCACGCTGCGCATATCCTCGGCGATATTGTCCACGCACAGTTCCAAAAACTTCGACCAGATTTCCAACCTTCAACGCCCATTGTTTCCGGGGCATTATCTGAGAATTCTGGTGTTGTTTATAATGCTGAAGAGTTATTATTACCACCCGATCTCTCGTTTTTGTATCCGAATTTTATAGGATCAGAGATGTTTGATGCAGATGGCGGGCTGGAGTCTTGGCCAGAATGGGCTCAGGTACACTCAGATACTGACGCTTCTGTCTAACAATATTTATAAAATAATATGAACGCTATTTAATACTGGCTATTATTTCACCAAAAGGAATTGTAATTTGTCAGTGCACTAGCATAGACCTGCGACAGGCAGCAGCCAACAAGTGACTCACGGATATTTTCCGCTCCGTTCCGCGATCAATTTCTGCTCGTTGAAACCATCATGATCACCACTCTCTTCCCACGCATCACAAAGCCACCACCAAAATGGACCGACTAGCCCCAGAGATCATATCCAACATAATTTCACACCTCGTGCCATACGAGTATTTCTCACCAGCTAAATTCTACGACGAAACTAGACCTCCAATACGCTGTCTCGCACATCTAGCAGCACTATGTCGTCGTTGGCAACCTCTGATTGAAGAGGCATCATTCCGTGAGCTCAAGCTGAACCCAGAATCGGTCTCTTATGCGATAGAGAACAATATTCTCACCCCCAGGCGTCTTTCATATATCCGCCGGCTCGATTACTCGTTTCCACCACCAAATGAAGCACATCCTCCAACAGTAGGCCCCGAAATCGACACGGGTTTTCTGCCTCTTCTCCAGTTGCTCGCTCAGATACCTTTGCAAGAGGAGCCGCTCGTAGTACTCTTCGTTAGCGTCCCCTGGAGCCCAAAGGGACCTGAATATCTCAGTAAACTGGAAGACCACGTCCAGGACAATTTTGAGGACTTGAACCCATGTCTCCCAGAAGTACCCATGATAAACCATTTCTGGTTCAGCAGTGGGTTTGACCGCTTTTTCTACTCTCCACGCTCTATCTGCCTGATAGCGGGTACGATGTCGCGCCTGAGATCACTTGCTCTGCGTCTAGTGTCTCAAAGAGGACCGAACAATGTGGTGAACGAGAGAAATGGTAAGTTTAAATAACCTATACCCAAGATGTTGGTCTTTTCTCACAAAAATACTTGCTAGAGCTTGCACGGTCATTGCATGGTCTGCCTTCGTCCATCCATCAATTCGACCTCGCTTACTATGTGAATCCAACCTTGCTGAAGGATGCCATGTCTTCTGCGCCGACAGAAGAAGACATTTTAAGTCGAGAGTTATGTCGATTCTCACAAAGAGAAGGACTAAAAGACTTCTCCTTTGAGGGGAGCATCGAGCCTACTATCTTCTGGCCATCAGAGTCAGATACAGCTGAAGATCCTCACTGGCCAAGCCTCAAAGCCTTCGGCCTTACTCCAGAGAGGGTCTCACCCTCAGGGAAGCGGCTCCTCGTCCACAAACCCTGGCGACCAGCAGACAACGCCGCTGATTGGAGACGTATGTATCCCGTTGACGATGTGGTGAACGAATATTTTGTGGCGGCGGCACGATGTGTATCTCGGATGCCCAAGGCGGAGTATCTCTCCATAGAGCTCAAAGACTCGTGGTACACGACTCTTGTTTTCTGCACTGGCTATCCTGACGATCCTGACGAACCAATTCTGAGACTCTCAGGAGGCGGAGGTTCTACGATCTTTGAGGAGACTGAAAAGGAATGGCGGAAGACAGTAGAAATTCATAACTTGGAGTTTTCTATGGAAATTGATGAGGAGAAGGACTAGGGAATGGAGATAGAAAGCTGGGTGTGACTGGAAACTGAATGCAAATAGTTGTAAGGTTAACTAACTCTGTTGGATTATTGCTGTTTTTACAACGGTGTAACCTATACTAATCATACTATACTATTGCTAACGATACTTTAAATCTCACTTCTAGTCTCCTCGGAAGCAACTTGGAACTTTGCCTCAACACCAGCATCACCATTATCAAAGAGTCGGTAAAGTAACTTCCAGACGAGAATAACAACCGCAGCAGCAATGGCACAACCAGCAGCAATACTCAGTCCACGAGTATACCGGGGAGCATCTAGTTAAAATTAGCTTGGAACTTGACAAAGGGGCTTTGTAAATACCTTGAGTTCTGAAAAGTTGGTTACCAGGAAAATTGGCAAGCTGGATACTCATCACATAAGCAGCCAAGGCAACAGGTCTCTTGTAATCCTGCATCTTCGTCGTGAGCCATGCAGCGCTGATGGCTTGCACACAGCCCATTCCCATCTGCGTCCAAACAACTCCACCATACAAAGTCCACTTCGACACGCCGTCTGGTGCAAGGGCTAGCCAAAGTAAACCAGCAGCTCCCCATAGGTATCCAAGGGCGATATGGAATCCACGCTCGCGGAAGTGATCACTACTGAAGGCCAGAGTCACTGACCAAACCAGAGCGCAGACACTCCCGACGGAGTTGAGACCATTGGCTTGAAGGGAAGTGAAGCCCAAAGACTTGATGATGGAGGGTGCGTATGTGTTCATCGGAGAGATCATGACCATAGACAGAAGGCCAGCGACGAGATGTCCGTACAATCTCCAGTCAGTAAAGGTATCGACAATATGTGACAGTAGAACTGGTTGACCGTATCGAAGGGCCTTGGTAGGATCATTGCGGAGGACGCGGGTGACGATGATGGATGCTTCACGCTCGGTGAAAATGTTAAATGATCTACCAAAGAAGGTCTTTGGCTTCGCGGCGTTATGGGGGAAGTATAGGTATGCGAGGACTCCGAGGAAGCAGGTCAAAACACCCTCTGCACTTTGTTAGTACCCACACTGCATATGAAGTTTATGGACATACCGATAAGGAACAGCCATTGCCATCCATGAAGACCACCCCTTCCACGAAGTGAAAGAAGACCGATAGATAAAGGCCCACCAAGAGCACCAGCAAAGCTGTTTGATGCCCAGAAGATGGCATATCTCAAAGCAAGCTCTTGGTTCGTATAGTATCGCGAGATATAAAGAGCAAAACCAGGAATGTAACCACCCTCCAGGGCACCAATGAAGAATCGAGCAGCACATAAACCGTGTGCATTCTTCAAGAAGATTTGAGACCAGGTAGCAATACCCCAGAGGAACATGGTGATGGGAAGGAATCTCTCAGGGCCCATGTACTTGCTGATCATGTTGAAGGGAAGCTCTGTAACGATGAAGCCGACTGTGAAGAGAGTTTGTGCAAGGTTGATGTCTGAGTTATCGATGCTGATGTCCGTTCGAAGTGTATCGGTCAATGCGTTGCCGATGTTGGTACGGTCGAATTGGAGGAAGCAGAAACAAAGAACGATAAAAGGCAAGATGAAGAAGTCAACTTTGAGTAATGCTCTTCTGGTTTCTCCAGATTCAATGGTAAGGGTAGGATCATAGCCCGGAACATGGATAGCTTCATCCTGAATAACATCGCCATCATGTTCTGAAGTCTTGGACTGAACCGGCTGACTCTTTTCAGAGAAGGAACTCATTGTAACAAGAAGTTAACTGTCAAACCCAACAATCTTGGAGCTCAAAGCAATGGTGGTTTCTAACATGATGATATCGAACAATGTTACGGTCTATATACTAACTTCCTGCCAAAGCAATAACGATGTCCTGATAAGCGATATGCCCAGACCTGTATGGTGTTGAAGATACCATGGCGACGATAATGGCGTGCTGAATTGAGTTAACCTATTGAAGGACTTGATAAGATGAGATGGCGCCGGCGGTGATAAGGAGGGACCGTCGGATCGTTATCGGCCGGCGGCATCCCGACGGCATCCCGCAGGCTTACCGCCGGGATGCCGTAGGGTTGATGTTTTCGCAATATCACGCCAATATTTATTTGAAGATATCATTTTACAAGGAGAGAATTGTCTACAAGTACAAGGCAAAGTTCAGAGTGTTGATATTGTTTTCAGATCGGATAACCCATCGAGCAAGGCAATCTCAACAGGTCTTGAAACGATCACCAAGCTCCAACAATTACCATCGACATAAAGTCAGCAGATTAAGCTTCTGCCATGGAACAAAACACACTAAAAAGACGTGGCGTCGGTCTCACAGGTGTCGACAAGGATAAATCCTTCGGCGGCTACACCCTTTTCTGCCCCCTGACCAGCGACACAGCTCACCTTGTCGACATTGACTGCAAAGAAGTCCACTCGTGGAAACTCCCCGGCAGAATCGGTCGCCATGCCAGAATTCTGCCCAATGGAAACCTTGCTGTCAACACTCTTCGAACAACTGAACTCACAACCAAAGATGGGGGTCCATTTCCCTTTCCCTTCTTCAACAAATATGGTGGAGGTGTGATGAGTGAGCTTGATCCCGATGGCAAAGTGGTGCGTCAGTTCACAGATGACTTGGGTCATCATGACCAGTACCACTACGGTGATGGTCGCTTTTTGTATACCGGTCTTGAGGCCCTGTCTCCGGAGGACTCAGCGAAAGTTATCGGTGGTGTCCCGGGCAGCGAGATCGATGGCATCACTTACGCCGACACCATCAATGAGGTTGATGAGAAGGGAAATCTCGTCTGGCAATGGAAGGTCTCGGAGAGTCTCCCACGAGACGAATACCCCCTTCAACCTCACTATACCCGAGAGCATTACCCGCTTATCAACTCCGTCATCCCTATGCGCGACGGTAAACACATCCTCGCATCACTCCGATCCGTATCAGCCGTTATAGTCATCGAAAGATCTACAGGTAACATCGTCTGGAAACTCGGTCCAGAAGTTCTTGCTCAACAACACAACGCCACTGAACTCGACAACGGCAACATTCTCATCTTCGACAATGGAGCTTTCCGCAACGGTGAATCTATCACTTACACCCGGGCCATCGAAGTTGATAGACAAACGAAGAACATTGTCTGGGAGTACAGGGACCGCTCACAGATGCATAACTTCTTCACTCCATTTATGGGTAGTGCGCAGAGACTGGCGAATGGAAACACACTACTCTGCGAGAGTGCCTTTGGACGGTTGTTTGAGGTTACTAAGGATGGATATGTCTGCTGGGAGTTTATCAACCCGCATTTTGCGCCGTATCCTGACCAAGCCACTGCCAAAATATTCCCTGGGGAGTCAAATGCGCTGTTCAGAGCATACCGGTATTCTTTGAAAGAGATTCCTTGGCTGAAGAAGAAATTGACAGGAACTGATGGAGAAGGGCATCCTTCGGGAATGTTGGGAAGCATGTGTAAACAGCAATAGCTTAAAATATGGAAGAGTACATGCAAGAGTTGATAGGAATAATAGTACAATACTACAGCCAAGTCTCCCATTTGAAATGTAGGCATGCTAGAACATGCAAGAAACGTACGACTTGAATCCTTTTCTGTCAAGAGTCCGGGTCGTATTGAAACAATTGAGACGTCAAGTTGAACTGCAAGCTTCTAACATTTGTTGCTGACCAAAATGCAAGCTGTTCCAAGAATAGAAGGATTGTCAGGCTGAGGGCAACTGAACCGCTAATCTGTGACCGATCGTAGGCATAGAGAGCCACGTCAAGACACAAGTGGCATCTTTTAGCGGAGTTAAAGATCGATAGTGTCGGGTCGCTCGGAGCATAACAGAACTTCAGTATCCCAGCGCATGCATTGCATTACTGCCCACCAATTGTACAATAGTATGAAGGGACTTCTTGTCTATTAATTATCTTTGCAGTCAAGCCATGTCTTTGCATTTAAGTATTTATTCCCCTGGTAAGTCAGGACGCCCCGTTCTCTTCTCTGAATTCTCAAGGCATACAACCAGATCTCCATACCGATTACGAGTTGTACGAGCTTCTATTGAGTCACTATTGCTATCCTTGATACCGAGTCATTCATAACTTATCCACTAAAATGGTAAGTCGCTTTTCTATATGACACTCTGGCTAACGTTCTAACAATGCTGTCAAGGTTAGGTTTGTCCCCCTCAACATCACTTGATATAGGAAAGCGATCTGCCCAGGAACTTTCACCCAACATGTGAAAAAGACATTGCGTTTATTAGGTACCGCCCAATGAGTGCTACCAACGCTTACTCTTTTCATTTGTAGCGTCGGGTTTTCGGAGGCGGTCCCCAAGGAATTCCGGAATTTGCACAAGGTATCCCGAGATGCTTTCGGATACATTATCTTCGGACTCAATCATGACAATACCGAAATTATCCCGCTTTCATATGACTATGACTCATCCTGGGAGGACTGCAAAGTCAAGCTCATTGACTTGGATGGGAATCCCTATCGCTGCGCTTCTGCTGCGTGTAAGATCCCTCCATTCCAGGATAGGTATACAGCCCAGGAGCCACCGTGTTGACCTGTGCTCAAGAACTGACTGGTCACCCAGAGGCGGAAAGCTTGTTCTGATTCACTGGACCCCTGACGAAGCGACGACAAGGGTAAGCTGTTAAACCAAGTCACCCTAGTTTTCAAGGACTCTAAATAACGATTCACCAGGATAGAATGGTGTACGCTGTAGCTAAGCAGGGACTTAAGAACTACCTTGAGGGTATTCAGTGTGTGGTTCAGGCTACTAGTTTTGACGAGCTTGATTCTTCTGCTTTGCAGGCAGAACTGGCAAGTTAATGATATAGCCCATTAGCTATGGAAAACAGTAGTAGTAGAATTATGACGAGCTTTGCATTAGTTCTATTTATAATAAAGACAAGTAGATGCTAATATGAATAATGATATCGCAGTAATATCAATTGCAAGTTAAGTATAGAGTTAAAATATTTTAATTTAATTGATTGATAGAGGTGTCTCATAATATTCAATCGGAGTATTCACACTCAAAAATAGGCCTGCTTCGGCACCCGAGCCCAAGCTCAGCACCAACTTAGCTTAGAGAGGTAGGACCTCAGCTCTAGAAAGGGGAATAGAATTCAATATGCTTGGGGTTTGTCTCCGAGCTAACTGGCATCTGTTTCTTTGGTCTAAAGCTTTTCTTCTCCCTGGGTATGTTTTAATTCAGAATCAGCTGAGACCTGTTTCTTTAAGCAATCTGTTTACGCAATAGTGAAAGAGATCCCTGGTATTTCCCCAAGTATTCACGAGATAGTTGATACAATATTAGCCATCGGCTGTAGTATCCTGTATCGGGTCGGATCTGGGGCAGCAGTAAAAGGTTCCGATAGTTGTGGGGTAGACTAAGGACTAAGGTAGAGTTAGACTAGCCCACGTACCTCGTCCTCACCTCGGCAGAGCCGAAGGTTGCTCTTACTCACCCACATGATCTTTGTCACTGATCTTCCTAGCCGAGATCAGTGCCGTTCCTGGAACTTATTTAGACAGTGATCGGTTACTGATTGCGAACTGAACCATTTATTACATACTTATCAAGCTATATAACTGTCCATTTTGATGGTCGGTGGACATTAGTGAGGGCCTAGAAGGGACTTGAGAAAAGGCTGAAAGTTGTGATTTAAAGATGTAAAGTTATGACTGTCTTGGAAGGGCTTGTAAGTAATAGTTGCAGCGCTCGTCGTATGGAGCTCTATCCTCTATCACATTGCAGAAGTGGTGTTGTGTTACCGAGTGGGTTGCAGTATAGACAGATTGTTGCTGAACTCAGCCTGTTCGTTACCAGGTTCTCCAGACGTGGCCGCGCCTAGTCAAGTCTAAACCAGATATCGATTTGGCTCAATAGGCTCGCTTCTTTTAGCGTGCCTGGGGATATTCCAACCCCGCATTCTGTGACACCCGTAGGTCCCGTTGAATAAGTTAAATACTATTCGTCCCCAGAAGTCTTGACTGTTCTCGTACTTTCTAGTCTCTACTTCTACTTATTACGCCTATGTGAACGATGCCTTCTCGTAAGCTCAAAGACAGTGAGCGCCGTCGATGCGCCAATGCCTGCTACACTTGCAAACGTCGCAAAGAGCGCTGTGACGGCCGCCAACCGTGTGGCCGTTGCATCACCCGCGGAGTGGATGTCGAATGCAGTTTCACCCCTTCTCCGACAACAAAGCGCAGGGTTCGGAGTGTACAACCCAATTACGTCAACCCTACACCTAGTAGGGACGACTCACAGAACCCTATGTCACCAAGCGTCTCCTCCTCTATCGAGGTCTTTGACCAGACTCTGTCTCAGCTTAGCAACCAGCTAGGACATGATCTACCCAAAGCCCATACAGATCGTCCGCAACTCTCTACGCTCATACAAGACGGCCACGGGAAATTCGTCTTTATTGGCGACGCAGCCAACTTGTCATTCCTACAAATTATCCGACGACTAGTTCGTGATTCAGTCGGTCCCTGTGCATTCACAGAGGATGCTCTACAGCATCTCATGGTTGAGGCCAAACCGTCGGACAGCTCCACATGGTTCGTCAACATCATGGATGATACGCCAGTCAAGCCCGGGGAGGAAGAGGCTTGTTATCTAGTCTCCTGGTTCTTCCGCTCAACCAGTTGCGTACTCAACCTCTTCGAGGAAGAAAAAATCAGCTAGTCTATAGCATCTTGGTACCAAAAGTGCTCTGATGAACCAGAGGATAAAGCCTCAGCAGCTCTTTTCTTCCTCGTGTTTGCCATTGGTGCCCAGACATGCCCTGAGAATAAGGACCGGGAAGCGGAGCAGTATTTCAACTACGGCCGCTTCCTGACCGCGTCCATCATCATGGACGACATTAGCATATCCGCCGTCCAGTCCAACATTCTTATTACTATGTACCTGCTTGGTGCATCGCGGCGGAATGCCGCTTTCATGTACCTCGGCAGCGCTGTCCGCGCGGCATACGCTCTCGGCATCCAGCGACACGATATCAACAAGCATTTCAAGCATTCTGAATATCTTCTACGAGAGAGGCTCTGGAAAGTTCTCCGCGTTCTGGATCTCTTCATGAGCGCATCTCTTGGTCGACCACCATCAACACACGAAACTCGAAACACGGGCATCGACGAGAATTACTCGGCTTCTAATGATCTCTGCGCTATCTTTGAAGATATCCTTACCAATATCTACTCTCCGCAAAAAGTCTCAAACACCCACTTGGAGCGGATCAGTGAGCACCATCGGAAATGGGCGAATAAGTTCCCTTTGGGTCTGGCTACTGATAGCATAAAACCGTCGAAATTCATTGATGAAGCCGACGGGAAGGAAACGCCAAATATCGGCCTATGCCACCTTAAAGAAGCTTACTATTGGACGATCATGCTACTTGCTCGACCCTCCTTGACGAAAAGCGCTTCCAAACACATGAACAAATCCGCGCAGGACATGAGTCAGTGGGAACCCCCAACTGCTGCAACTGAGCCAGAGCAAGTCCTCGCTTTTTCCTGCGTTGACTCTGCTGTGCGGACAGTTGACCTCCTGAAAGTAATGGGAGACAATCGAGAAATTCCAAAACGTCTCCCGTTTGTCGTGAACTCGTTATTTGTTGCAGCGCTGGTACTTGGGACCGCCTACTTCAATGACTTGGATCATATTTTCCCTCTTGAGAAAAGTATGATCGGTGTAAGATCCCTGATGGCCAGGTTCAGTACCCATGATCCTGTCGCCAAGGGTGCACTACAAACTATCGTTAACCTACAAACAGCTTGCAACATATACGTTGACGAGAGGGCACGCCGGAAAATGGAGAGACAGAGTCTTCTTGTGCGGAATCTGTTTGGTACTGTCCACGATGGATCTAGGCCACAGACTCCGAATCCTCATGAAAAAGCAAATACAACGTCTCTGAGTGTTTTCAGCCAAAGCGAGGAAGTCCTTGATACTTGGTCATTCGAAGAATCTATTGGAGACATGGATAGGGGGCTGATGGGTATGTTGCCGCATGAAGCTTTGGAAGCATTCTCACTTCCCACGCCTACAACAATCGAGTTCGACTCATTTGATGCTAGTTTTCCTCTTTTCTCAACTGTAGATGTAAGTAGTCTTGAGGTTGAAGGAAACCTGGGGCCGAATAATTTGGCGTTTGGACTGTGATATATGTAATCAGAAGGTCTTCTTTCTGAGTCGATGAAATGAATGTGTTCTACATATAGTTGATACGTTGAGAGGGGCACGAGGCAATTGTGAAATATATGTACTACATACATGCATGCTAAACTAATTACTACTTTTGATGGCCCAGTTGACCCCGCTTATCAACTCGTGCAAGAACACCTCTGTCTCGGGTAGAGATGGGACTATCCAGAAACAATGAGGCATATTACCATAGTGGTTGGTCTTGGTAGCCACGCCCGCGGAGGAGAGGCTATCGTAAAGAACCTTTCCGTCATCCCGTAGTGTATCCATGCTGCAGGTTACGACATATGTCCGAGGGAACACCTTCAAACAGCTATCATCCAGCAATGGGAAGTAGTTCTTGTCGCTAGGATCGATACCCGTATTGTCAAACATCTGCAACAGAGATTCCTCATCCACTATGGGTACGTTGTCTTTGTTCTCGTTGTAGGACGAGTGTTTCGTCTGGAACTTTGCTGGTATGTTTCGTGGGTGGAATGCTACTGGGCATAGTGCAATAACTCCCTTGATAGCATCCGTGGGAAGATCGGTCTGACCAAGGACCACCTTTCGAGCAACGGCAAGGGCAAGCCCGCCGCCAGCTGATGTGCCGATGGTAAACATATTGAAGTAATTGACGCCAATGATCTCGGCGTTGTCGAAAGCCTAACGAATCGAAATCGTCAGCGGAGGTTCTTGATGCACGCATAAATAGGCGGAGAACTTGGTATCCCACTTACCCACTCGTATAGAGTCACAGCGTCCTCTAAATGTGTTGGAGCCTTGTGTTCAGGAGATAATCGGTAACCAACACTCAAAATAACCACGTTGGCTTTCAGTGCGATATTTCGACAAAAGCCATCCTCAGAGTCAAGGTCCCCTACAACAAAACCGCCAGAGTGATAGAAAACACCAATGGACAAGTTCTTGGCTTCGGAACCACGAGGCGCGTAGGTCCGATATGCAACCCCACCTACTTCTCCATCACTGATCTTCAACTTATTCTCTGGAAAAGGAGGAGATTGAGATGAAAGGAGAGAGCCGAGTCCGCTGAATTGATCTCTCATTTCTTCCACAGAGCCTTTTAAGACCGGGCGAACGCCGCCGAGAGACTCTTCAAACTGTACGGGTTAGTGCCCATAACAGATTGGGTATCATAGGAGCTTACCTGGAGCCAGGAGTCAGCGTAAGAAGACATATTGGCCAAACTTCTTATCCTTGATGAATTAGATGCATAAAACTCGTGTTGAAGACTGCTTTGGATTGGAATGATCGGAACGCGTACTCTCAGCTCTTGTGAGAGGTTACAGGGCAGCGCTGATGGATGAGGCCTTTTGTAATAATGCTTTTCCTGAATTAGTTCATCGGCTATTATGTCTTATTGATGTAAAGAAAGTCATTATCGGCTTCTTGCCATTTCTTCGGAAGATTGCCAATTGTTCCGCGGAACAGAACCTCAAGTAGGTTCTTCGGATGTAGAGCCCAAATACCGACAGCAAACACCACATCCGAGCCGAAAGATATTGGCATTGCTTGGCTGGTTATGTTTCCAAACTGATTGAAACATATATGGAAGTGAAATTAGCGTGCTAGATATTTATGATGGCCGAAGCTCAGACTGCCTCGTCTGATGTTCCGAACTAGGTTCCGATGCTCCGGGAAGCTCTAGGCTGTGCAAGTCTCCCGAAGACTGTCAAAGGACGAGATATTCAGAGAAAGTCAGACTATGTATATATACCTCTAATAGATCTCAATAATGAAAGCATAAATAACCAAGTAACATTGCCAGTTCTCAATGGGATTTGACATAAGCTGAGCCTTCTGATCCCACTGTCGACCAAGTCTCTATCTCAAGCAGACGATCCCAAATCTCTGACACAGAAATACAATCACCATGACCGTCAATACAACAGTTCTCGATGCACTCATCGTCGGGGGTGGGTTCGGTGGTGTTTACCAACTCAAACGTCTTCGTGAAGAAGGCTACAATGTCAAACTCGTTGACATGGCCTCTGACTACGCGGGCGTATGGTTTTGGAACCGATACCCAGGCGCTCGAGTTGATAGTGCCATACCGCACTACGAATTCTCTGACCCCGAATTATGGCGTGACTGGAACTGGACCCAACGATTCCCCGGCAGTGCTGAGCTGAGAGAATACTTCTCATACGTCGCTGAGAAATGGGACCTTCGCAAGGACACCTTCTTCAACACGTATATCTCCAAGGCTGTCTGGAATGAAGAAGCGAGCAGATGGGAAATCGAGAGTAAGGACGGCAAGAAATTCGTCGCGCGATACTTACTCTTGAACACTGGTTTTGCAGCCAAGCGACACACGCCCGACTGGAAGGGCATCGACAAGTTTGGTGGTCTCTGGATCCATCCTTCATACTGGCCTGCAAAAGAACCCGATCTGAAGGGAAAGAAAATCGCTGTCATCGGAACCGGCTCCACGGGTGTACAGCTTGCACAAGAGCTTAGCCAGGTTGCAAGCGAGTTTGTGCTCTTTCAACGAACGCCCAACATGGCACTCCCTATGAAGCAAATTGAATACTCTCGCAACGACAAGTCAGTCTCGGAAGAGCGTTATAATGAGGTTTTCAAGGGCCGGCATGCTAGCTTTGGTGGGTTTGACTTCAACTTTTATCCCCGCGACACTTTCAGCGATGACCCCGAGACACGTCGTGCAGTATATGAAGAACTATGGACCCATGGCGATTTCAAGTTTTGGCTTGCAAACTACCAAGACATGATCTTTCGAGAGGACGCGAATGCCGAGGCCTATAAGTTCTGGAAATCCAAGGTGCGATTTCGCGTCAAGGATCCCCGTCTCCAGGAGATTCTGGCTCCGGAGAAACAACCATACAGTTTCGGCTGCAAGCGGATTTCTCTTGAGAACGGTTTCTACGAGATCTTCAACCAACCCAACGTCTCCTTGGTCGATGTCAACGCCACGTCAGTTGTTGAAGTTACAGAACGTGGTATCAAGACAACTGAGAAGGAGTGGGAGTTTGACGTTGTAGTCTGCGCAACCGGCTTCGATGCCATCACTGGCGGTCTGAAGGATATCAACATCAGTGGAGTATCGGGTGTGAAACTCGCTGATAAGTGGGAGGCTGGTGCGAAAACGTACCTCGGCATGGCTGTTGCTGGGTTCCCCAATATGTTCTTCACATATGGACCTCAAGCACCGACGGCTTTGTGCAATGGTCCGACATGCGCTGAGTCTCAGGGCGAGTTTATTGTTAAGGTTATGAAGTACATGTCGACCCATGGCCGTCACAAGATTGAGGCCCGTGAAGACGCAGAGGCTGAATGGGGAGCCAAGGTCCGGGACATTGCTAGTGCTTCTCTTTTACCCAGCACCAAGTCGGTATGTTGAACTCATTTTCGTGGATGAAATCCAGATAGCTAACTTCTTTTAGTGGTATATGGGAGATAATATCCCAGGCAAGCCCCGCGAGTGCTTGATCTACCTCGGCGGTGTTCCAACTTATACAAACACGCTGAAAGATTGTACTGAGAATGGCTTTGGGGGATTTCAGCTGAAATAAGTCTTAGAACCTCATCAACAGTAATGAAGATGGGGCCGAGAGAAAACCGATGGAGTAATATGTTGCAAATATGGGCTAGGGGTTTCATCCAATCAGGAAGCATCAAGGCGCAGTGGCAGAGTGGTCTAATGCGATAGACTAGAAATCTATTCTCTTCGGAGGCGTCTGTTCGAATCAGGCCTGCGTCGCTCCAGATATTTATCTTTTGTCGATTAAGTGTACAAACTGAACTTTTGCTTCTGTCTTCATTCACTGTATATAATAATAATTGCGAACTCATCATGAAGGTCTCAGTTTGTTGGTGAAAGATAGAGGCAGTCGACGGGCAGACTTTCTACTTAACAATTATTGTAGGTAAACACCTTGGTGTTTCAACAGTCTCTTTTTATATCTCAGCTAGGGAAAGGGAACACCCAGGCCCGTTATTCACCACTGTACACTCCTCCCATCTGTCTGGTTCCTCCTTTATAACGGACATTACTCCGACCTCCAACCACATACGACCAAAGCTCGTAGAGAATACGGGGTCCCGTCCGCTCCCCATCGTCAAGCTGCGAAGCGCCGGATTAGTAGTTGGGTCGGTGACGACCAGCGAATCCCCGGTGTTGTATGTTCTTTTTGGTCTTTGTCGCACCTTAATTGACAGAGTTATACGCACAGAGCCTTGAGAAACTATGGGTCTACTTCAAACCACCAGACAAGATGATATCTTGCCCTGTGAGATATCCAGTTTTTGCCATCCTTCGAAACATTAGAAGTTATCCAAAATGATAGAGAGTTTACTTACATGACAGCGATGTTGGCAACTTCTTGAGGATGGCCCAGGCGGCGTACTGGGACGCTTGCTGCAATTGCCAGGCCTGGATCTGTTTCTTTGAGTTCCTCCAGATCAGTTTTTCTTGTCCATGTTCTGAGGTCTCGGGTCAGCTTATTTAGGGGAACCTTCAGACTGTAGAGAGCACTCACGTTTCTTTTGGCGTTGGGATCATGTCTGTAAAGCCAATCATTGCGGGAAGAATCTGGACCTCCTATCAGTATCTGCGGGGGGACAACTTGTTTATAACTTACAGTGTTGACTGTGACTCCCTCGCCAGCCAAGACAGTTGAAAGATTCTTGCCCATCGAGCTTTCAGATATCAGTTCTCGTCTCTCATGCAATAATGATCAGTATCTTACCTCAGAGCTCCCTTGGTTGCCGCATAATGGCACCCATTAATACCACCACCGGTACTCGCAATACTTCCGACCAGAATCACACGGCCCCAGCTTTGCGCCCTCATAGCAGGCAAGCAGGCCTTCACCACCACAAACTGACTCCTCGCGTTGACTTCCATGACCGAGTCCCAGTCATCTTCTTCGATATTCTGGATGTCTCGGATGCGCCTGCCGAGACCAGCATTCGCGACGAGAATGGATACTGCTTTGTGCTTGGCGGAGATGCTCGAGCTTTGAAAGACCTTGTCGACCAAGCCGCGAGTTTCATCGCGAGAACTGAGATCGGCGGAGACACAAGGGAAGAGTTGACCAGGGTGAGCTGATGTTAGTTCTTTAGACAAAGCCTCGACTTTATGCTGGAAACATGGTTTAGTATGAGACATTCTGTTGATTTGAGTAACTCACCAGACTGGCATTGCAATGCAGTACAACATCGCAACCCTCTTCTGCAAGAGCTCTGGCAATAGCTGAACCGATCCCACCACTGAGAATAATTAGCATTAAATGGATCATAAGGGTGCATGTTGTACCTGGCTCCTGTGACAAGAGCGAGACGCCCCTCTACACGGTTATCAACGTCACGAATATGATAAGTTGCCATGTCTGCTATTTCCAATGAAAGTTGAGAATATTCCAGCAACAATAAGAGGAGAACTTGGATAAAGAGAAAGGTATGAGTTGATTAAGAGATCGTTTTCCGATAGATGGTGCTTTATCCGAGGGCGGAAGAGGGAGGGGTAACTAGTGGGTTGGGGAAGGTTCTTAGATAAGCGACTCTCGGAGTGAATGCCGGGAGTTATAATTCTGGCGACTTCGGGGCCATAATTGAGGATATTCTGAATATCGCGAGATAGCAATTCGGGGATCTTGAGATTGCGTTTGAAAAAGTATGGTATATGATTCCTGATGTTGCGTTTGCGGTAAGATTGGCCGCCACCTTACACGATGGAGATTGTTGCTATACATAGAACGTTAACATTTTCATTCTCGTGATTCAAAGTACTTCTATTCAGCATAATATTGTGATAAAATTATGAAGTTAAAGGAGGCTTCAGCCCCAACACAAAGGTAAAGAACACAAATGTTCTGCATAATGCTGGGAATAAGATATGCACATATACACACGAAGATGATGATGTTACAGGTGAAGAGGGGGATATACACTGAGCGCCGATGAGATATTCAAAGCATGATGTTCCATATGTAAATTATAGGCAAGTAATTCTATGACGTAATTCTAACCCTCAATAGGTGTAGAAATGAACTTTGTCTGGAAATTGCCAAACTTCAAGTGCCCATTAACAATATTATCGTTGGTCGAAGTATAATTCGCCGTAGCCGAGATCTGCACCTCCTTCCCAAGATCAGGGTAATCGGTGCGGCGAACCTCGACAGTCGTGTACTCCCCGGAAAAGTACTGGCGAGCCTCGTAAGCCGTGTCGTTGCAGCGCTCAAAGTCAGGCTTCCCCGTCAGATCGAGGTCGTCCGAAATCACCTGCAGGCCGTGGCATGAAGCTGCAAAGTTTCCTGGGTCTGGTACACCGTTTCTTCCTTTCACGGTGAACTCCCACCGGATCGAATGGGTATCGTGTGTGGCTTTGTAGTCGTCGCTGGACCAGGTGCTGTGAAGATCCTTGGGGTCGGTGACTACGTAGGGTGTGCCTGATACGTTGCACACGAAGGCGATGAGGAGGACGGCTTGGGCGAACATGATGGGTAGATAGAAGGACGGGTGGAGCTGCTTGAGTTTCAATATTGTGGCTTTCTTAACGAATTATGGGGATCTATTAAGTACACTTACCTCTGGCGTAAACTGTCAGTAAAAGAAAGCAAGCTAAGTTTCCTTTCTGAATGTCAGCTTGGAATGAAAGTAGTGCCAACGGGAGAATGGACAATATATATTGGGCATTCACCCTCGTCGTCCTTTGATATACCTATTCTCCAGCAGCAGGGTTTCTAGAAAGTCTAATATATATAAAATACGAGACGAACCGCCATTTTTAGGCTTCTTATAGTTCATTTTGCTCGTGTTGACATCCGTGTCGTCCGGCGCATATAAATTATACCTGTTCGTCGTCTCATGCCAAAGCTTAATATTCCGGCAGTTCAGTAGTCAGTGCCGACATCCGATTAGCCTGCAGAGTGCATGGATACTATTAAGTAGCCTAAATTTAATTCCTCAGGGACCTTGACTTTAGCTCACCCTTAGTTATCCCTTTGTTACCAGTGTTCACCGCTGATTTCAATGCTCTTCAATCACTGCCCAGGCTATTCATTTCGAGAATTGCCTGTCATGGAGTGAACGCCGGAAGCTATATCTCTCATGCAACTTTACCAATGTACCCTAAGGAATCATATGATGGGTTTCATAATCATGTTCAAATTTGTAATCTGTATCTCATGTTTAGGCTCTAATGATTAGGGTCACCGCATGCCCGTCGCGCTATCTCATAACACAAATAGCCCAAAGCTCTTATTGTAGGCCCAGAACTCAAGCATGTGCATGCTCAACAAATTCATCACCCCTCTCATGCGACTTGCTTTTCATCTTTGTTGCCTTCTCAGGATATCTATCATCCGCCAAACGTCCATGGAGAGCAAGTTCTTTCTGCATCTGCCTTGCCACTTGAACAGTATTCTCACCACGAGCAAAAATGTAGTCAACTTCTTCAAGAGCCAGGTTAGATGTCTCAGGATACAAGAAGAAGATGATCGGCACGAAAATGAGGTTGGTTGCCATAAAGATGAGATAGGCCTTCCACTGAAGGCGGTTGATGAGAATGGGAGTGATCATGACCTGTAAATCGTCAATTATAAACAAACAGAGAAGGATGTTGGGGAGTAAGACGTACCACTGTGAAATTCCAGAGCCAGTTGGAACTGACGCCAATCGCAGTTCCCTTGGTTCGAGCATGGAGAGGGAGGATCTCGGGGACGTAAACCCACGGAACACAGTTCATACTCGCACCGAAGACAAGCATGTAGGTAAAAAAGAACGCTACTGATCCAGCAGCAAATGCTCGACCTCGTGATGTATCATCTGCCTGAGATAAAAGCGCGGCTACCATCATCATTGAGAACGACAGCCCAGCAGATCCCCACATCATGGTAGATCGACGACCCATCTTGTCCAAAGCCAGAGTGGGGAGTAGAGACCCGATAGGGAACATTAGTTGAATACACCCCGCGATGATCTGGGCAAGTCTATGCTCGAGTCCGACGTTGGCCGTCAGGACAGCTGAGACATGTTAGCTTTGACTTTGAAACATGATGACTGGAGTGTGACTCAGACTTACCCAAGATATAGTAAACAACCAAATTTATACCACCGGCTTGATTCATGAACTGCACAAACCAGGCAAGGAAGACTCGATATCTAGTGCTGACCTTGTCCTTCCTAAAAGTCGAAGCCCAAGAAGTACTTCCCTCGGCCTCCGCCTCCATCGACAAAGCTGCCTCGATTGATTCGACTTCTCGCAGAATATCGGGGTGATCAATTGGTTTATCATAGACCGCTGATAGCACTTCTATGGCCTCTTGTCTCTTCCCGTGGTTGAGTAACCAACGAGGCGACTCAGGTACACCAAATACGACAAAGATGACCCAGAATGCAAAGACGGCTTGAAACGCTAGGGGCCAACGCCATGCGAATGGTCCGCCGACGAAGCTAAATGCAAAGTCCCACCAGTATGCGAAGGCGATGCCGATGCCGACGAACATGACTTCTGCGGAGACGAGACGACCACGCTTTGTGCCCTCACAAAGTTCGGATTGGTACCTAAGCAATTGGTTAAAAATTCCGGGAAATGTCTATACTGCAACTTACATCGGAACAGTAGATGTCTTGAGACCGGTGCCCACGCCGGTGACGATTCTCCCAGCAATGAGATGTCCTCGTGTGAAAGCTGTGGCTTGCAAAGCAGCTCCAACAAGGATCCAGCCCATGGCCACCCAAATAGTCCATCTTCTACCAAGCTTCTCGCCAACGAAGAAATTCTTAAAACATCCCAGCAAACAGCCCAGATTATAGCTTGAGGTAATGAATCCAGTCAAAGTATCGCCGGGATCATTGAACTGTCGCAGCCAATCCTCATTCTCAAGAATGCCACCAAAGACACCTTGGTCATAGCCATAGAGAACAAAAGCGCAAAGACAGCATGATGTTACCGCGCGCTGCAGTTTCTTGCCACGACCGAACCAAGTTCTCATTGTGAATCAAGCCTTCGAGAACTCATAAAAAAGAAAAGAGGGCAATGACGAAGAGAAGACATGCAGATCACCGTGGAATATTTCAAGTTTATATTCACTGAAGATTCCAGGAACCACTTTTTTCTCTGTAACCGAGCCATTTTCACTATTTCCGGGGACTTTGGGGAAACCCCAGAGATCAGCGTCATTGTTTTGTGGAGAAGAGGAGTCTTGCTTGGTGGTTATACTTGCCATGTTGGGAAATGTCTGAGAGTCAGGTGTTGTTTACATCATTTGGACGTGGAGAGTAATGCCAAGCGGTTGTGTTGCATGAGTATGGTAGGAGGAGCCATCAAGGTTTCAATGGTGCATGTTTAGTTGAGGATCACGGCGGCTGAGAGCTAATTGAGAGAAATGATTGTGCACATATATTCACGACCTTTTGACAGCTAAGTTATAAATGGTAAGATCTATTAGCTGACGGGACAATGTGAGTAGAAACAATCCTGACTGGATGGTGGTTCTTCAATCAGCTCCCTTCTCCAGGTCGTTTTAAACATTGAGGTGTTTAGACGGTAGTCGGAAGGGCAGTACAGTTGAAGCAGAATCAATTGAAATAGTCTATGAAGAGAATAATAAGAAACCCATAAACACAAGTGTCTACGCCTTTTGCCCGATGTTAAAAATGCCCCCCATCGGCATCAATATGCTATCCCAAATGAAACAGTCCAACACACTACTGACCACCTTCTCAGACGTTGTCCAAAGCTGTTTCCCCAACTCGGCGTTATTCGCATCCTCAGTTGGTTCTTTCAGTCCACCGAACGGCATGATGAATGATCCAGCATATTTATCTCTTTGTTGAGCTGGTTCCGGGTGAGCAGCAGCAAAGAAAGGCGTAATAGCACCCTCGAAAGGTGAGAGGTTCGATCGGAAGATGTCGTTGTCTCTGCCTCCAAGATATCCTGCCGCTCCATTTGTTGCAACTCCTCCGGGATGAACACTAAGTGCTAGTATATCAACGCCTTCTTGGTCAAAACGGCGCTGAAGTTCTTTGGTGTGGAGAATGCTTGCGAGTTTGGAGTAGCCGTATCGGAGATAATTAGCTAAAGGCTCATCCTCACTACCATAAGTATTGTTGAAGTCTTCTAGTGATCCAAACTTTGCACCCGTCGGAACATCGTAGTGAGCCGTTGAAGCAACATTCACAATCCGCACACCAGGATGTTCAGCCTGGGTTTTGTTAAGCAGCGGTAACAACTCCCTGGTCAGAAGAAAAGGGCCCAGGTGGTTGATGCCAAATGAGACTGAGATGCCATTTGCGTCTTTATCGAGAGGTCTGGCGAGAACAGCAGCGTTATTGACCAAAATATCAAGCCGAGGCTCTTCTGCAACAACCTTTCTCGCAGCGAATTGGACTTGTTTGAAATTTCCCATGTCAACGGCAAACGGAACAAGAGATTCGGGTTTTAGCTGCGGTGATTCGGCAAGCATGATTCTGATCGCTTTTGTTGCTTTTTGAAGATTGCGGGCGCCGACGTAGACTTTTGCTCCCTTGAGTGCGAGTTGATGTGCGATGTGATAACCAACACCATCTGGAGTACTACAAAAGCTGTTAGTTGGCACCTTGCTGCAAGCGCGGTGATACTCACTTGGCTCCTGTGACAAGGGCGACTTTGCCTGCTAAGGATGGGATATCATCGAAACTATACTTCTTCAATGGTGTTAGCCATCGGCGAAGATATCTCAATCAGTGACGTACAGGTCGTAATATTTCTTTATGATCCACCATCTTGTCAAAGATTAACGATAAAAGGTCAAAGTATTCTCAAGTAGGTTTGTAAGTGTTATTTCTTAACTGATTTAGTAACATCTACATCAAAGGAATTGAACTACTTATATAGTGCGCTCAGTCACTTCTCGCGATAGCTAATTAATCAGCCTACATCATGTTCAATCGTATTGTCAACATGTGAGCTCTCGGAGTTGGCGATTTTGCTTACAAACACAGGCGCAGGGCGAGCTCCGCCACGGCTTACCCAATGGAACTCAAGTCTCAGTTGATGTATATGTCAGCACCTAGAAACGAGTTCAAAGGGGCCCTAATAGTCGTCAAGAGATTGACAGTAAAGATAGTTACATTCCACCAATGTCGCTTCTAATAAATACAATTCTGCAAACCATAATTCCGCATGGCTAAGCTTAAAATCTGTAGTATGATCGAAGTTTTCTCTTTGTTTTTGTGTTATCACCGCAATTACCCTTGTCATCGCTTTCTTCATCCATTATTTCTTTGAACTTCCTCTTACCCGATGGCCCACCCCAGACTTCCATGTCATCATCGTGTAGGACTAGACGGTCAGCGAGAAACAATCTTTGTCCGACTTGCCAAACACGCAGCTTTCGGCTTCTTAGCTCTTCTGCGCTTAAGTGAAGGTGCAGTTCAGTGCCCGGCTCTAAGCCGTGAAAATCATAAAGATGGGCATGGACTCCCTCAGAGATCCTAAAGGATATCCAACAAGGTGAGTCTTTGAGCTGGTACCGATGATGCAGTTGAATAAGGAAATAAATGAATCGCTTTTGCCTCTGGTTTCCAAACAATAACTTGCATTAGCTTGAAACAGAAAATGTCCTAGTGCGTCTCTGAATCTCAGTTGGGTCTCCGGGGGGAAGTGTTTTGTCCATTCGGCTAGTTCATTACAGGAACCAGTAACGAACCGACTCGTCGAAAATCCTGATACGCTTATCAGAAGAAGAAGTAGTAAAGTCGATATCATTGACATAGCATCGCTTTCCAAACTCGTGCCATGGCTTTAAGTGTCGTATGACAAAATCTCTGAAGACTGTCACGCCCCAAAGGTGTATCTGATCGATCAAGGAAAGCAACTCCCACGCTCTACGCTCAGTTGACACCCGTCCGCTCCATATTCTTTGGAAGTCCTATAGACTCGTGTATTAGTGCGATGATAGTTCAAAATACGGATTGGGCTTACATATACAGTCTTGCTCATACCAGACATACCCAAATGCTCTCTTGCAAGCCGTGGCCGCCTATAACCAACCAGAATATGCCAGTGAGCACCAAAGGATGTGAAGACAAAGACCTGGCTATTTCGACTGTCTTCGGCTTGGTATGCACCATCAAGATCTCCAGGCTTCCCGGGAACCTTGCTTAGACGATCAAGCATGTCGAGGTATACTGATCCAGCAGAGCACGCTTGACGTCGTGCTTCCCGAGGATCACCACTCCATCCTTTGGCTTCATAGGCTGCAAATGGAAATACCAGACTTGATTTGCCCCAGCTAGGGTCAGAGTGGAGACCACAGTATCTATGAGGACTGAGTGCTTCCAGGCGATCACGATTGAGATCCCATTCGGCAATGGGGCTCTGGTAATCTCGGGGTTTGAATGTTGCGAGACCAAAATGTCACTGTTGACAATAACGGTGGGAGCTATGGACCTCCGGTGATTACAACGCCTGATGGTTGTATTGGGGGTTATCAGGTAGATGCTAGCGGTCATAGTTATCCTATTGCACAACCTACAAAGGGATCACATGTCAATTCTCCAGACGGCGAGAATAGCCAGCCATCTGCTCGACCTACACTGGGATCACCAGGCAACTCTCCATCTGGCTATGAGACCGGCCAGCTTCATATTCCTACGCCAGCTGCAGAATCACAAGGAAGCTCTCAACCAGAACAAGGCAATAAGCAGCCTTCTGTTCCAGGTCAAGGCTCATCGGAGCCCAACAATGGCGAGCCTCAACCAACACAAGGTGATGCAACCCAGACAGCTATCTCCGCACACCAATCTGGTACCCTAGTAAATCCTTTACTGTCATCGTCTATTTTTCAGGGCCAGCAAGGCATCTCAACGACCTTTACTACCGAAGCAAGTATTACCGAAGAGATACAGGCACCCAAGTCCACACACAATCATTTATCGGAAGCTGAAGAGGCACCATCTGCACCAGTCACTATTTCAGGAGCCAACAGACATCAGTGCATGGTTTGGACATTGGTCGCTGCAGCCCTCCTTGGGTTAGGAATGTTGTTCTAGCTATATGGACTGCTTGAAGTAGATAAAAGGCATGTAAATAACATAGACCATCAATACACAATCCCCTTGGAACAAGAGTTCAGTGTACGCAGCCCCCTGAAATAATCTAACGGTAGCTAATTACTATTATTTATGTAACTTAAAACAGATATTGCAATACTGAACGAGGTCCTTTAATCATACCGCTCTAGTTGGGAGAGGGAGTGTGTACACTAGCCTTTGCCTTCTCTCCCGCAACGCGAACACAATAATAGTACCCAGCCCAAAGGTTTTCACACTTGGAGCCAACAGCAGGATTCCACTCATAAAACTCAGCCAAATCGACCTTGAACTCTGACGCAACAGCAGAACAAGTGTCACCCTTAGAAACACGATGGTATTCGTTGCACGACTTGGTAATTCCCTTCTGAACCGGCGAAGGCGCTTTGTTACCGGTGACATTCTCAGGAGTGGTCGGCGTCGGAGTCGCAGCCTTTTCAACACCAACACAAACATAGTATCCTTTCTTGAGACCCTGACAGTGCTTGCCAACAGCGGGGTTCCATTTGTAAAAGTCGGCAAAGGAAAGCTTGTTCTGCGTCTCGATTGACTTGCAGGTCGTGGTCTTGCCAACAAGAGCGTACTTGGCGCAGTTCTTGGCGATGCCAGCTTGAGTGGGTGAGTACTTCTTCGCTGGGGGTTTTGCTGAAGATGAACCCTTTGTCTCGGTAACAGAAACACAAGCGTATGCGTTTGCCAAAAGGGCGTTGCAATCAGTACCAGTCTTGGGATTCCATTCCAGAAAGTCGGACAGGGAAATCTTGTTCTTGGCAGCGACCTCGGAGCAGGTTTCACCCTTCTCTACAAGGTAATATGACTTGCAGTTGGAGACAATGCCCGGTTGCTGAGGCTCGGGGACCTTGGCTGAATTGGAAGACTTGGTTGCTGCCCCAAAGACTGGTAGCAGGTTTCCAGCCAGGAGAAGGAAATGGCTGAGACGGGTCATGGTGTTAACGAGGGAAAGTGATTTTGCTGATGGTACAAAGACGAAGTCAATTCGAGGATATTAGCTTGTGAGTGAGATGCATATGGTGAGGGAATCGGAACCTTTTATCTCCTCGAGAGTCAATTTATCTGAAATTACATTGTCTTTACAAGATAAAATTAGACAATGCTATAAAACGCTTATTTTGCTTGGGTAGGTGTAAGTTGCGCTATCGTCGCCCGCCGCGACGCGGGGAGAAAGTTTATCGAACGCTACAACATGGGTAGATGGGGTGACTGTGAGATTGCTGCTGAGAAAACAGAATATTGTTAGTGAGGATACGTACGTTCTCGTCCATTCCTGTGAACATGTTGATAAATCCAAACTGTCGTTTGCGATTCCTTGTTCCAGCAGAATGTTACAGATATGCCGAATGACATCACAAGCAAAAAGAAGCGCTTTACTATATCTGCTTGCCGCTCTTCAGTGATTCTAAAAGACAATGCTATTTTTCTAAACAGAGTTTGGTCTATACTGTCCTGAGGTCTAAATACGAGAGAGAAATTAGATATCCCTAGTAATACCGCAATACTACACTTTGAGTTTTCACCACACCGGCATTACGCATAGAGAGAATTGCCGGTCGTGCACTGTCGCTAATCTAACTTCAACCTTCAAATTATACCACGGATGGCACGGAATCATTCGAGCTTAATTCATCAAGAGAGTAATCTACAGTAAGGGGCCACCTGAAAACACTTATTTAGGCGAACTTTGATGGCCTGAAGTGTTACATGTAATGGCCGTCTTGAAAGAAGACAGAGCCAGTGATGGCCGTGAGACCAAATTCGAGGGTTTACCCTATACAGTTCGGGCATATTTGATTCGCTGAGGCGCACAGGTATGGAGCAGGTATGTCGACTTTCGTGCAATGATCTAAAGAAAAAGCTCCTGACGGGCGGTAAGGACTTGTGCCGTTTTCAAAAGATAAATCACATATAGACAGGCTTAGCTGCTCATAACCACAGCGGAACGATTGAACGAGGGGTCACTGATGTTGGCGTTGTTCCTGTTCCTCTCTGGTACTTTAAGCGAAAACTTCACCAATTACATCCATGGCAAAAAGCCATGATTCAACTGCTAAGACTAGTCACATTCAGCTGCGGCTGAGTTGGGCAGATTCTTTTAAGACTAAGATAAAAGGAAAACAGGACCTCGAGTTTCGGGAATAGTTGGCAAACAACCCTCAACTTTTTTTTAACTTCTCTCTCTGATAGGTCATACTCGCAAAATGAAGATGGGCACATTCGAGCGCGGGCAACGATATACTGGATTGACAAAACAGTGCCAGTCCTACTATGAGCAGCATAGCATGCATGCTAGAGCCTGTGAGGCGAGAGCAAAAGAACTGTTCAAAGCAGTGGCAACCATTGCCGCTGCTCAGGGTAAAACTTGGGATCAGGTTTTCGGCTTATCTGGCGATTTCAACAACATTATCTTTGATGGAGGTTTCGAATATCATGGCCCTGAGAGTGTCGGCAAGTCTCTATCTTTCGCACAGTGGTTCTTTCTAGCCTCGATCATCGGTCTTGGTCATGAGTTTGCTGGCGCGTCAGCACTCCTGTACTATGTCGGTTGCACACTTGGCATCGCAGCTGATAGCTACCCCGTCAATGTTCGGATGCCCGTCGCTTCACTCTTTCGTCTTGCCAGAGATCGCCAATCATCTCGGGGTCTTCCGTGGGCTCGTATGAGCCGTTTTCTACGAACTGGTGGAAACTGCAATGTTCCTATCATTGAACTTGAACTATTATCTGGTGAATTGCCTTACGAAGACTCTACGAAAACAATTCACAACCTCGCGGTGATACGACTAGACGCATGCGCACATTCGATTATGATGAAAGCGGTTTTCGACGCGGTCTCCAACCTTACAAGCAAGGCTACCAAATACGCTGAGGATCTCTCGACTGTAAGGTCTTTTGATATTGCCAAAGAGTTCAGCGCGACCAGTGAGTCTTTGATCAAGACGTTCGACAGTGTTGCCGACCAAGCTTTGGAATGGACGGGAGATTATGACAGGATCTACCAAAAGAAATACATTCGCGATGACCCCGATCTCACAGATCATGTATTCGAACTGCAGAAAGCAGCCCCTTCGAATATCGTCAGATTCGAAGTCTCATACGACTTCGCAGTGGACTCGCTTCTGGCTGAGACCAAGGCCAATGACGGCATTCGGTTTGGTGGTTTCGGTCACAATAAGAAATCGATCTTTCTAGACGATGATGAAATTATCACGGGAGCTTCATGGAATACAGGAATTTTAGCCGAGGATGCTACCAAGAAAGTCATTTTCAACTTGATTATCAACACCACGGAAAGAAGGCTAGGGCCATTTGGTACGGGTGGCGGTAAGATCAAGACAAATGCCGAGAAACAAATCTTTAAGGTCCCTGAAAAGATGAAAGTATATGGTCTTGTTGACTCGGCCGGTAAATATATCGAGCATCGAGGCGATGTTATCATGGAGAGTGGGAGATTCATCGCGGAGCTTAGGTTCATTGTCGGTCCTGCAGAATAGCATCTTGGTCACGAGAACGAGGTTTATGAGGGACAAACCCATGATGACTCCTGTCGAACTCACTCGGACAGATTACTCAGGATTCCAAAGTGGAATATGTGACTCCTACTAGGCTAGACCAAATACTCGAGTTCTGAAGATGCAACGTCCCTGAATAGTACGTTTTATTTTCAATAGTACCAATGGCAATATCTGTATCCAGCTTCCTAAGCATCTCCACTCCATAACGACGGCGTCTAGATTCGCCAGGCCCTAGTTTTCAAGTCGCCTTTACGAGCCCTGCATAAAGTTCGTGACACGATTCCACCGTCCCTGCTTGCGAGATGGCCGATGCACTACCACGACACGCATACCAGATTCCCCTCTGACAGTACCTCCACTAAATTCCCTAGGAAAGGATCCAAGGATAGGCTCATAAGCCGGAATCAGGGGCGGATGCCAAAAAGATTAGCCTAAGGCCCACTAAATCTATACTAAGCTTGCCTAATTTATACTAAATTTACCTCAATCTTTTTGTCACTTAGGATAGAAGTCAGATGTTTTCTTGCCTCCCCAAGGCACCTCAACTCAGAAATAGACTCAGAAATAGATTTAGGCACATTCAAGTTCGTCTCCAAGATAAGTGGTGTTGTCTCCAGTTAATATCCGGCGTAGCATCTCAATTTGGAAGTTCTCAAGCGTCAGCCTCGGTATAACTCAATCCGCCTTAGTGGCCTGATTAGCGTGTCGTGGAATTTTCCATAAGAGTGCTCCGTATCTGAATCTAGGATCTTACACCTTCAGACTTCATTATCTAAAGCAAAGATGGCGCGACCAACTTCTGATTCACGGCCTAAGCCATCCACATATTTATTCCTTTACAACACCCTCTCAGCCCTTCTTCGAACAGCCCTCTTGCTGAGAACTGCATATCTGTGGTTAAACCAAGGCAATGGTGCTGTGTGGGACGAACTTAACATTATAGCACGATGGACTGAGACCTTTACTGTGATGGAAGTTATCCATGCTGTTACTGGTCTTGTGCGAGCGGCTCCCGCTACAACTGCGCTCCAAGTGGCCGGTCGAAACACCATTGTCTGGGCTATTACACGAAACTATCCGCAAGTTGGTTTCAGAGATACTGCCTATAGTCTTATGCTCATGGCTTGGAATGCGGCCGATGCGATTCGATACTTCTATTTTACTCTTCAAACGGGAACGGGATCTGTGCCAGCTGGTTTGACATGGTTGAGGTAAGAAGCAAAGTACCTCGTATAAAAAGAATAAACTGACCAATAACAGATACAACATGTTCATCATCCTTTACCCCATTGGTATTTTCTCGGAGATGAAACTTGTTTATCAAGTCATCCAGCCATCTCAAGCTCGAAACCCAACGTATCAGTACCTACTTTGGTTTGGATTAGCAATCTACGTTCCAGGTACGTGAGCTATGGCAATCTGCCTATTATCCATATACTGATATCATACCATAGCATTTTACATCCTCTTTGGGCATATGCTGGCTCAGAGGGCCAAGTTGAACCGCACCAACCTCAAGAAACAGATCTGATATTGTGCCAACCAACTCTTAACCAGAAGTCGAAATCGAAAAGTTCAGTCTGATTTATAGAGGCTGTTAGCTTGCATGCGATCTTGTAATGAGAAAATGTCTATGGGATTTTGCCAGTATTAGATTGGCCTGTGGTGGGCGGCGGTTAAAGTACCTAACTATAGCTTCAGTCGTGTTGGTTCTGTCATATTCAAGCGCGCGGCAACAGTGGACCAATAAGACACTAGATATTTATGCAAAGAAAAGGGGAAATGGTAAAATGAATATCGTAGCATTCTGACATTTGCTTTCAAGGATGATTTCTTCTCTCATCGTTATTCGCTCGAGAAATCAGCTCCCAAGGCCATAGTCTTAATTTCGACTCCATCTGCCAAGAATGACCCCCTCACCATGGACAACTTTTCGCAGAAGCAGTACGTTTGGTACCAGGTTTAAATACGAATCAACACTCGATTCCACACATATTCGCTTAGTCCAGATACGCCAGCGGACACGCAGCCTGTTGTCGGAGAGGCTGAATATTGACTTGACCACTCATTCTCTGGATGAGGCAAAGGCACTTGGTTACCACGCACTATCCTATACATGGGGTGCGCCAGAGGGGGATGGCAAACCCACCGACTCCGACTCATGCATACTGGTGAACGGCGATAGATTCTACGTCCAACCAAACTTATTCGGTGCTCTCAATCGCTTCGAGGAATTTGATTGGTATTTGTGGATCGACGCAATATGTATTGATCAGACCAGCCAAAGGGAACGCGAGATCCAGGTCGGCATCATGAGCGAGATTTACAGCATGGCAGCCCGAGTCGATATCTGGCTCGGTGTTGGCGGAAAAGAGTCAGCTGAGGCCATTCATCTCATACGGAAACTTGCCAGCTTGGCTGAGACAGATGGAAGTGAAGTGAGCCTGGACAAAAGCGTAATCGAAAGTTCAGGCCTTCCACCTACTCCTTCTGCAGCCTGGAAGCCATTCGTTGATCTTCTGGAGCGGAATTGGTTTCGCAGAGCTTGGGTGATTCAAGAGACCGTCCTAGCTCGGCAGACCTCTGTGTTCCTCGGAAACGGCGAATGTATCTCTTGGGAACAGCTCGCCTCTGCATTGGCGATGATCAAAAGACTGGGCTGGTTTCCCAATGGGGCGTTGGCCATGGTCAAATTGGAACAGATTACGTGGTCGCCAGGACCTTACGCCGTTCACTTCATCACCATAATCAAGATGTCCCTCGAAAGCTTGAAAAAGCCTCAAGATCACCCGTTGCTTTCTGTTATCGAGGAGCTTACCGGCGCTGGTAATTGGAAAACGACTGCCAGCTCTCAGTTGGCATACATGATGATGGTGTGCCATAAGTTCAAGGTTACGAATGCCCGCGATCGGGTGTATTCGTTATTGGGAATGGTTAACATGGCCGCGAGCCATATGGGAATTCCTCGATGCGATTTGGAAGTTGACTATAACGCGAGCGTCGCTCAGGTTTTCACAGCTGCCACGAAGAATATCCTCAATCATTGTAATCACTTAGGATTCATCTCTTTAGCTGGTTTTGCAGAATTCTACCACGGCACACAGAATTTACCTTCAGAGGATATACCATCGTGGGTACCTAACTTATCCAACGAGCCATCGGCTGCGAGGACTGCTCCCATCCTTTTTGATCGTGTTAACAGCGATGATCGGTTGGACGCCGCGCGATACAGTGAGATTGGTTCTCTGGGCTTTAGTATCACAGACTCAAGGCTGGCTGTCAAAGCTCAGCGTGTTGGACAGATTCTTCCAGGGTCGTATCCATTTTACGTACTCGCTTACTATTTCAACATCGAACCTTTTGCGGCCCTTCTACTACGATGCGGTAAGCGCTACAAAGTAACTGGAGAGCTCAGCATTGAAGCTTGTTGGCGTACTTTCATCTTTGGCTCAAATATATACGATTCAGTCACAGATAGCTCGGCGCTTGGCGGTTGCTTTAAAGCCTGGCTATCCTTCATCTTGTTTCATTGCTTGCGGGTCTGGGATACCTCCATGACAGTCGATCAGCGACTTTCAATCTTGGAACAATTGACAAACTTCCAATCTCTTTTGGCCCGGGATGGAGATGAAGCCTCCGATATGCTTCCAAGTATCGAATGGATAAAACAGATGCTGCAAAAGCTAGGGCCTTCTGATCCTCCGGACTCACAGCTGTCGTCAATATTTTCATACATGGCGTCGAGATCCTCAATCACGGACTTTTCCTCAGAAGTTGACTTAGAGTGGACGTCCTCAGTGGCTAAGGAACTCGCCAACACGTTTTCACAGGCTTCTCAGTACGCGTCGCTCTTGGGTAGATACGCTGGCCAGCGGCGAGTTTTTCTGACAGACGAAGGGCACCTAGGCTTGGCTTTTTGTTCGGCATTTGAACCAGACAGCGTCTGGGTGGTTTCGTCTTGTCCGGTGCCATTGGTTCTGAGGCCTCGAGCTGATGGTACTTATCAACTGGTCGGAGATAGCTATGTTCACGGAATCATGAAAGGCCAAGCGGTAAAGGATAACAGCTGGGAGGAAATTACCATAACCTAATAGATGGTTCCAGATAGCATTGGCCTAACATTAAATAGAGACCATTTTTATGTGCTCCACCTGCCCAACAACAGATTACTTCTGGCTGGTTGTCTGTCCTCCTAAACCTTAGATATCTTCTTTGTAGTCTGAGACCTGTGGCTGGGAGCTAAGTATCACGACACAGAACTAATCCTCCCAATCCCATAATATTGTATCACTTGAAGATCGCCAACATAGCCTACTTGCGACCGTACACGTAACGCACAGTCATGTAACTATGCACCTTGGGGTTCCGTATCGCCTTACGCAAGCTCATGAGAAACACCTGGTATTCATCTTTGGGCCATTGACAAACGTCTTGCCACATCATGAGAGTGTAACCTATCAGGCGTGAGAAATCCATCAATAGTCAAAGGTTGGTTGTCTTACCCTCCAAGTCGTTCTCCAGTGTGGCCTTGACAAACCGACCGACCTCGGCGAGTCTTGGATCCTTGGGCCAACCGCCAATAGGGAACTGCAAGATATAGTTTCAGTCAACTGCAACCAAGTTGTAAAGAAACCTACCTTGTAGTCAACGGTTTCGACATCTGTGAAGCCAGCATCTTGAAAAGCTTTTGGCTGCACATCGTGGACGAAGAAGGGATTACCTAGAATTTGACTACCATCTTCAAAGAGCTTCTGGTAAGTTTTGAAAACAGGTTCCAGCTCGGTAGTTCCATCGTCACTACGGAATGTGACGTCGGCCTCGCCTGACTGTACCCAGCCTCCTGGTGCACAACATCGGTATGCCTCTTTAAAGAGACCATCCCAGTCTTTAATGGCACCAAAGAGATATCGGACATGAATAAAGCTGAAATAATCTTCCTTCCACGTCCAGGGTTGGGTAGCATCATCAATTTCGAAACGAAGATTCGGGGGAACCCATTGGGGCTGGCAAGGAGAAAGATCCGTGCCAATCACTTCTGTCCTAGGATATCGGTCGGCAAATTCACTATAGTCTGTAAGCAGGCGGCATTGCCGGACTTGTCGGAATATCATACATAGCCCAGATTCCTGCGAAGCTGTTAGTGAAGATCCAAAGGAGGAACTAACGAGAACTCACCGCTTCCGGTACCAACATCTAGAACTCGCTTCAAGAAGCGTTGTACAAATCAAAACAGGTACTTTCAACCAGCTTGGGAATTTTGTGAGAGCGCCTTACCTGTATAGAATCTACCTTGACAGGGGCAAGAAACAGTTCACCATCCAAAAGAAGCGTTAAGTAATGGTGTCTGTTGTTTAGTTAGAGCCGTGTTAATGCGCCTTGAGGTATGGGCTAAGACGTACGTCAAGTCCATAGACTCGACTTGTTGATCGTCATTGGGGAAGAAGTAATTCGCGGTGAATTTGTCGCTGTGGTACGTGCGCCCCTGGCTGCGACGGTATTCAAGGATACTAGCAGAAACAGAGGCGACTGAGCTCTCGCTGCGAGGACTGTCAGAAACATGGAATATGTACTGTCTCAACGGTCACTGACGTATCGGCCCCAATGGAAGAGTCGGCATCCCCATGAGAATCATGCTGCTCAAAAGTAAGTGCCGTTCTTAATATGAAAGGGGCCAGAAGGACAGACATCAGAATCGTCCGCAGGGCCAAGTTCACCCGGAGCCGGCGGAGACCTTGACGGGGATTTCGAAAGAGATTTCGACGGAGACTTTGTACGGGTAGTGATTGGTGCCGGCGCCTCGGGCGGTGTCGTATTCCCTGTAGATTGGTTCGGCATGATCATAGAACGAATGTAGAGCAAAGTAACAACAGGAACAGCAACATAAGATTTGGGAGGAGGAGAATGAAGTGGCTTAAAGAAGATGTATGTTTGACGGTTGAGGCTTTTTGTTTTAACGGTCGTCTTTGAACCGAGCAAACATGACATGATATCATATCATATCATATCATCAGGGGGGTGTTCCTGTCAGCGCCAGCCCACTAATTAGGATAGCGGCCCGGGCGGCCCGTAGGCATAGCCAGCTGTCAAGATTCCGACTAAACATTGGCTTCTCACTTTATGAATGCATCAACTTGCTTAATCATATCTACGGCGATTGTTCTGAGGAAATTCTCCAGGACCGCTGGCTCATCACCAAGTCTATATCGTTGCCGTCCTGATCCATCATCCGCTTGCTCTCCGAAATCTAGTCTGGCATTTGGTCTTGAACATACCGAATCAACCAGACAAATATTCTCACCCTGACCCCCCTTTCCCCCAGACACTAGAAGCAACTTAACCATGACACTTCTAAAGGAGATCCTTATTTCTTTTCGGCGTGTACAACGGTTTCCCTAGCATTTGTAATGTCTCCCACACTCCCGAAGCGGGATCTGCGGACCTTGGTTCTCCTCATGGGCTCTTTAGTTCCTCGTGCGGTCAACGCACGACTTGTTGAAGAGCACTTCAACATAGGCAATGGTGGGGTAAAAAGGTCAAGTCATCCCCCTCCATGACTATACTACCCGAAAACTCCCTGTTCCTCAATTCTTTGTTGACTCAACACCTAGTCTCGCTAAAAGCTTGTCGACCTTTTCCACGATATGACTTCTCTTTGCCTTGATATCAGGCTCGCTGAGCTCCTCGATACCCCTCAACTTCCTTATGATGTTAGAATGAATCCCATTGATAAGTCCGAGCCGCTCGTCTTGCTTTTTTGTTGAACCATCGTCTGAGTTAATGGCCTCTTTGCATATTGGAAGCCATCCTACTTCCAATTCGTCCTCTAGCGCACATAAAGCCTTCCAAACCTTAAGTTCCTTTCTGTTCATCGTTAGGTGAGGATCCGGCGAAGGCTCCACGATATTAGTTTGCTTGCTAGACGGATTGGAAGTGGATATCATGGCCGGATCATGAATGAAGGGGCATTCAGCTCCATCCATGCAGTAACCATTGACCAAAAAGCTTGGGCACGATACTTCTTTCTTCTCGGGTCCTTCAGGAGTCGAACGCAGCCGTTCCTCGTTGTTATCATTGACGTTTGTCGCTCTGAACGAATCATGAACGTCTAGAGTATCCTCGTCCACACATGGTGTTCCGCAATATCCACAACAGCGCCCGGGAATAACCCATATCTCTTTGCCTCCCAAGGCACAGGTAGGACATCTAACTCCAGGTCTGGGGGCTATTGCAACCTTGCTGTCAGCCTCTCCAGGTGGTTGGTTAGGTGCAGAGGCCTGAAAGGTACCTCCTAACTCGAGATCTGATGCGGTTTTGGGAACTGGCACCTGATCGCTGCTGGAATCTATCACAACTCTTTGTCTTAACTCTCGGGAGAACTCTGCTCGGCGATTGTCTCGTTCTGCTTTCCCTTCGAGTTCCCTGTTCCCCTCAGTGCCGTGCCCATTATCCAGCACAGGGTCCTTACTAGGGGAACCGCCGAATTGATCAGACTTTCTGAATTGCGGTGATGTAACTTTTATTGAATCACCACTTGATATACCATAGTTTCGAATAGGCGTACCATCGATTAACAATTTAGTGTCTTTGCAAGAAAGCTCGACCACATGTCTGAAGCTATCAGGAACAAATGTTAGACTCGCTGCCAGAGCTCTAATCTCAGACACTTGCAGCCTGCCATCTCTGATATCGTGTTGGGGAAATTCAACTGTGTATTTGAACTTCTTGTGATGGAGGTGCAGAATGTCAAAATGAGCGGGGTTGAAGCTTTCTGAGGTATTCTCAACAGGGGTTTCAGAATGCTTATCGCTGTAGTGGTGGTCTCTCTCCTCCTCGGTAGACAATCCGTAATCATGATACTGACAGGACAGAACCGGACACTTCCATGGACGAGACGGTCGGAATATCACGCCATTGATGATTCTGTTTGTATCATTGCTGTCTATAACATAGGCCCTAGGGGAATGATACACTGAAGAATATCGAGGACTACGTTCAGCTGCATCTGTAGCCTCGTCTCCACTCTCATTAGAAAGACGGGTGACATAAGAGCTGGCCTTCTCCAACTCATCTTGTACTTCAGAATGCATGGCTTCTTGTCCCTCGGACTCGGAATCAGGCTCGACTTTCTTTTCATCTTCTTCACCTGGAAGATGGGGCAATGCGAATAGAGCAAGATCTTCCTGGTGGCGACCAACGTGTCGATGGTATTGTTTGAAAGTAGATTGTCTTTCATTGCATAGAGGACAGTCTGTTGGCTCGTTTTCTGGCTTAGGCCTCTCACACATAGCGACAAGACTGTCGAGATGAGTCAATTCCGCGGTTTCTGAATGCTTATGCTCTAAATGACGTTTCATGTCTTGCGAAGAGTCAAAGGTCTTGTCGCATCCAAGCTTGCAGGCCCATGTCTTCCAATGGTATTTCTTGACGTGATCAGCCCATTGGTGACGTCTTTGAAAGTCTTGGTCTGGAGCCGGACAACCCAGCTCAACGCAAATGTAAGGAAACAAATCTGAGAATACGTGTTTCCTGTTGTCTCACGTCAGTAACATTCATATTGGCGAGGGAAGGGAAACTAACCTCCAATGATTCCTCGAAGCAATAGATACCATCATAAAACAAAATGGGCACTCGAAAGGCCCATTCTCGGCTCCTGCTGGAAGGGCAGGTATCTTTCGTCTCTCTGGATTCGCAGCAGATGTTGCCCAGGACGTCTGTGATCTCCCAGCATCCGAGGCATCGTCCACGTTCTCCTCCAAAGAGATAGGTTCATTCACATTAAGCTTCTTTGGCAACGAAGAGGCTACGGTACTCTGCATTTGGTCCTTGTCATCGAGTTCGAGCCCACTCGCCAACTTGTCATGGTGCAGTTCTCTGTATTTGAAGTACTGCCTCCGTCGAGAAATTGCCTTTCCAAGTCTCTCTGCTATGGACTTCGGGGCTTTGGAGAGCTTGTTGCATACATGCTGTACGTCAAATGGCTCGTAGCCAGATGTATCGGTTAAGCAGGCTTTCTTGAAGCGGTCGTGGGGAGAAGGATTGTGAATGGAGACTGAAAGCCTGAACAGACAGTTGATGTCTTCAACTATCGCAGCAAATATCTGCGAGAGCTCAGAATTTCCGGAGGCGCCATCTTGAAAAGGTTCTTGGTCGGAGTCGGAGTCTGAAAAATCAGCTGGGGACAGGTCCTGATCCCATGGCGTTGTTTGTCCAGTGAGGATATCCTTAGCTGTTGATGTCAGACAGAATCTTCCGCAGCTCAATTATGGCAACTTACCATCTTGCAGAGACTCTCTCAAGTCCTCCAAGAGCTCAACCACCTGATCCCGGATATTTGACGCATCTCGAAGCCTATGATCGAGCGAGCTTCTTCCTTTTCTGTGAGCGCCAATGTTTCCACTCCAGATTTTGAATCTGCTCAGCTCGTTCTGTAGCTTCACTAGCGATATATCACTCTGGGTACCCTTATCTGGAATACTGTCTGTCCATATTGTCGGGGAACTGCAGAGACTATTGAACTCTTGAAGACAAGCCGACACATATTCAGCAATAGTATTCATGGTTGTTTGAGGAATGCAATGAAGACAGGGCGCTGCTTGTTATCTCGAGATTCATCGACCCAAGAAACATGGAAGGAAGGTTAGAGTGACACATGCCCTCTGGTGACCCATGGTAAGGTGTTATCTGCAGGTGCTGTTGGTCAGATCAACATTCAGCTGCACGTCAGCCGCAACCCCTCTTCTTTTCAACCCTCAATCAGGGCAGCTGGACAAGACCATGCTGAGAGCCTCAAAAATTCCTTCCCTCACACTCTCGTCCCTCCATCAACGTCTTGATTGCGTTTCAATGTCAGGCTTCGAGGTCGCCGGTATCGTGCTCGGTAGCATACCTATCGTGGTATCTGCACTACAATGCTACATGAACGGTCTCGGCACCCTGCAGAATTTCCGATCCTACAAACGAATCCTCAAGAGCCTCATCTTGACTCTCAAGACCGAACATGTCAATCTACAGAATATTTGTGAGAAACTTCTGATAGGAATAGCACCACAAACGCGCATCGAAGAAATGATTCGAGATCCATTCGGAGATCTTTGGAGAGAAGAAGAGATCTTCAATAAGTTGCGCTTGAGGCTCTGGTCATCGTTGCAGGTATTCGATGATCGCGTGCAGGACATGAGGGAAGCTATCGAGGAGATGATGGAGAAGCTCAATGTTGGTACAGACGGAAAGGTAGGTGGTTGCGATCAGCTTTGTACCTTAGCTAACTCGAAACAGGCCGAATGGACTGAAAGCTCTTCGATAAAGAAGCAGTTCAAGCGGGCGACATTTATCCTTCAGAAGTCCAACCATGAGGAAGCCCTTACGAGAATACGCGACGGCGTCTCTGCTCTTCAAAGGCTAGCCGTTCTGAACACGGATCTAGAGTCACAGAGAAAATCTCGATCACAAGGAAGACTCAACAAACTAGTCAACGGAATGCTGAGCGGTATTTATCAAGCATTGCGATCCACTATGACTTGCAAATGCTCTGGTTTACATGATGTTGGCCTTAGACTTACACCGCCGTCACGCACTGTTGTTCCCGAGGATGAAGACGAGGACATCATCAAGGAGTTGCAGTTCCGTCTTGCTGTTTCGTACCTGACGACATCGCAAGCCAATACTTCAAAGCAGTGGAATGAAATTCTTCTGAAGAGCAAAGAGGACTCGAAGAAGTCGACGGTTTCCTTCACAGCACAAAGTACATCTACTTCGAGGAAGACAGTTGGGTTTGCTGTCCCCTCAACTACCTCTTCGACAAACAGCCCGCAGTCGCAAACAGTTATCATCGAATCAGCCTTATCAAACCTTACACTCAATACTCTCAGGACAATATCAGAGCCTGTTTGTTCCAAACACATCAGCAATCTTTGTGAAGCAATGCAAACGATGGGGAAGAGAAAGCAGGGCGAGAGATGGGGACATATTCAGCACTGCTACATGACAGAAACTAAGATGTATGATGTTTATACACTTGAATGTCTGGGTAGTTGTGATGAATGGTCTCTAGTACCACTAAAACAAGTCCTTCAGGATCCAGCGCTGCTCTACGGTGATAAGCTACGCCTGGCTTGGATGATTGCCTGTGGTGTCTTACAGATGCAGGGTACGCCTTGGGTTGCGGATATTCCAAGAAGTGAAGATATCTTCATTGCCCAAAAGGGTGGTGTTCGTCAATTTCAGCATGTTTTTGTCCTCAGACACTTCCCAGAATATCCCAGAGTCAACGCATCAGTATCACCAACCAACCCGTTCATGCTTTATCTCGGAATCCTACTCATCGAGCTCATACTTGGCCAGTCAATAGCAACTCTGGATGCACCCCAGACTCAAACATTAGAGTCCGGGTTACCGAGACATATCCTTGACTACGAAGCTGCCAATAAGCTTTTGGGAAGAGTCATGATGACTGGTGGCTCTGGATATTACAATGCGGTCGAGCGATGTCTACGATCGGATATGCAAATTGATACGTCTGGGAACTCATGCTGTTTCCAAGGGGATGTTATTTCTGGCGTTCTTGATCCTCTTGAGCAGGACTTACGAAGATTGGTTGCATGATCAGAGTTTGAGTCGTCGACTTAAGCTTCTGGTGCGCGATGTTGAGTGGCCACACTGGGAGGGCTCGGTGGTTGTTAAAAGCATAACAGTGACTCACCTTCCGTCGAACTTCAAATACCGGGATCCGCGTTTCCTCGATGACCAACAAACCCTTCAACTGAAAAGCCAGTACGAAAATCGCATTCGCAAGCCTCCTGTCAGACATCACGCCCGCCCTACCGAAACATGCTTTGCTTCATCTACATCAGCGGCTTCCCCGGCATCGGGAAGCTCACGATCGCGAAGGAGCTCCAACAATTACTCCCCGACTCAAAAGTATACCACAATCACCTCCTTATCGATCCCATCGATGCCCTCGTCGAACGCTCATCTCCAGGCTACCATGGGATACGAACGGGTCTACGGCGATACGTCCTGAACGAAATCGCGACGCCGGAATATACTAAGGGTAGAACGTGGATCTTTACAGATGCGCGAGAGGCAAGCGCAGCGGGAGAAATGGGCGCGAAGGACTATGAAGCTGCAGCGAGAAAGAGAGGCGTTTCGTTCTTATCGATCGTGCTGGAGTGCGAGATTGAGGAGAACATAAGGCGGGCGATCAATTCGATGCGAAGTCAAAGCGTAGACGCGAAGCTTACGGACGAGACGATCTTGAGGCCGATTCTGGAGAAAGAGACAAACTATCGCTTTGGGAATGAGAACGAATTGGTGCTTGATGTCACGAAATTGAGTTCGAAAGAAGCTGCTTCGCGGATTAAGGAGCATGTCGATCGTTTGGCTGCATGTCCGTGAGTTGCATGGTTGTCCTTCCTGCGCCCGCTTCGCTCAGGTCGACCTCGGGGAGCAAGAAAACTCAAGACTTGAAAAGAAGATGCCAAAATAAACTTAGTAAAGAGTCCCCTAAACTTAGGCCAAATTACCTCAATATTTTTATTGCTTAGGGTCAAGGTCCTAAGTTTTCTTGCCTCCCCTAGGTCGAGTTAATAGAAAGCCAGGCGCAAATCAAAGCGCTTGGGAGGGTGCTTCTCTAATCATGCGCCAGGAGGCGAATCACTACGTAAAGATAGCAACGATTGAGAAGCATCCAACGAACGTTAGCTTGAACCAACTGCGTCCGTCAATTGGCACAGATTCTGTCGGCGGCTGCATTTGTCGGGCACCGAATGCGGCGCAAACCGGTAACTAAGCGATACAACATAACGGCAAGTCTCTCTCGTCCAAGACACCAAAAGCTGAGACAAGCTCCACGACTCAGCCGCAGCCGAAAGCAAATATTCAGTGGCTAAACAACGCGCGTTAGAGGGAATCGGTCCCCGCGGCTTTGGGCAGCTTCAATTCATTCGCCATTGTTGTATTCGTAAATCGTGGCGGTACCTGCATATACTGTACGCGCGCGCGTTGATCTTACAGGGTTCGGGAATACAGCGGCAAGGAGTGTTTCATGACAAGACAAGACAGGACAAGAACGGGACGTGTAGCAAGGCTGAGGGAGTGCCTGAGCCTGAGGATCAGCTTCTTTATCAAGAATACGGTGAGAAGCAATGGACAACTTATACGGAAGACCCTATGAAGAGCTGTGGCTCGTAATCTCGTGATAGTGCTATAACAAACTTGGCTCATGCTCCGTCGGGCATTTGCTAGTCAACGATCTTCAAGCCCAACCTCTTACGCCAAGAAGGACCATTTATGCAGGAGTGAAGCTCAGCCATGGAGGACGCGCAATTGCCAAGGCGCTCAATCCCTGCAACGTCAATTCGCAGTGGGGTCACCAAGACCCTTAGCTGAGATGGTCCGGGAGACTGTAATTTAACATTTTAGAGTAAACAGACCAACAAGGCTGTCAAAACCCAATATCATTTGCCGACTCGTACGGAACGTGCCGGCATAACCGTCGCTAACTATCAGTTAGTGCAAGCCCAGTGAAAGGACCAACCAGTGAGTGTCAATCAGTAGAAGTGCCAGAGCAGATGGTGAGGAGTGTCTGCCAAGACTGCTGTACGGTTAAATCGGCCTTGGTGCGCGGGATACCCGTTATTACGCCAAGGTCACAGCAAAGAGCCAAGAAGGATACAGATCATCTGCGTCTCGTCTTGTCTGCAACTGCGCCCCCTATGACCCTTTCCGCGACAGATGGAAAACACATGGGGCTAATAATATAACTTGACGCTCTTCCTGTCTCCAACTCTGCATCTTGCACATTCGCAATCCCATAAACCACATCTGTCATAATGTCTGCTCCATACGATCCCAACAACCAAGGGTAAGAAAGCTTCTATCACAAAAAGAAAACGAAGGGAAAGCTAATGTTTGACAGCTACTACCCTCCTCAGCAGGGTCAGTATTACCCTCCTCCCGGCCAGGGCTACCCTCCCCCACAGCCTGTAAGTTTATGAAGCTCAAGTGGAAGATCACCGGTTTCTAACAATACACAGATGCAGTACCAGCAGGCCCCTCCACCACAAGAAGAGAAGAGCCACGGCTGTCTATACACATGGTAAGCCTCACTCACTCTCTACTACACTATCAATAATACTAATAAACTACAGTATCGCTACACTCTGCTGCTGCTGGCTCTGCGGCGAGACCTGCGAGTGTTGTCTTGAGTGCTTCGACTGCTGCTGTTAAACCCAACAACATAGCTTAATTTACGGATTCTAGCGTTGCATTTGTTCGAAGCTCGGGGAAAAAGAAACGCATTCTCTTTTTTTTTTCTTTTGTCAAACTTTTTTATCTAGCTACCATCATCATACGACAGATGAAAGTCTTGTCAGCTACCAAATACCACCACATGCAATGATAACGCCTGCTTCCTTTTCACGTGTTTCTTTAATTGGGTGGGGTTCCCACTCTGCAACTCTGACAATTGACGTTTGTTATGCATTGGAAGTACCTGTTACTTATTAGATAAAGTGAAGCTTGTGATGGAGTGAAGATGACATGTACTCTTGGCTTTGCTCGTCCTTGATCTTGGTGCAGTCGCATTCTGCGGGACATGTTGCCTTTGGCTTCATCGTTGATGAAGCTGTGAGACTTGGTTCTCTGCATGGTCTGCATGCTGCGTTGGTCAAGCATTGGGCGTATCTGAGCGTGTCAGCAATGTACAGAATGAGCCTGATTGGTATCATGGACTTACTCATCGCTGTTCTTATCTTTTATCCTTGTGCAATCACATTCGACTGGACATTTTCCTTGATTGGCTGTCGTAGGTGTTGGTTCGTTGACGACGATTATCCTGACTAGGCCTGTTGAGATTGTCTCTGTGTAAGTGCCCGCTGGCATTGTTCTGTAGTCTGTCTGGGGACTCATCGCCCCAAGCATGTCGGTAGGTACACCATCATTGGCGTTGTCCCTTGGTATATTGGCATGGTGTTTGAGAAGTGCTTCTTGATGACTTTCATCTAGTCGCGGGACACCTTCTGCGACGCCCAGAAAGATCAGCACGCCAAGTCCTTGAAGAGACAACATGGTTCCAGCAGTATCTCAATGACTGTTTGTAAAAGGTCTTCTTCCGGTGAATGGTCTCGTGTGAATATGATCATGCAAATCTCAACATCGACCCAGCGGTTTGGTCCTGGGTTTATGTAGTCACCCTTCCCAATCACTTATCTCACACAAACGACCGTTGCTTTTGGTCGCACTCTACACACGATTTTGCGCAACGGACCTTCTTCCCTGATAGATAGCGGTGCTTCGCCGGATCTGGCAGAGTTCCTTGGTCGCTGGGCAACCTCAACGGCTGTATCACCACCATGTTGATGTTACCGGCTTGGGAGACCACGCGCAATAGTCTTTTATATCATGGCGTTGCCTGTGATCTGGTTCGTGTCAGCTTAAAGACGTGAATAAGTGTTTGTGTTGAGTGACGTGATCTTTGTACAGATGATCATCATATTGGTAATCAGGAAAAGTCCATGATGAAGGGGGCTGTTGAAGCGCAGCACCATCAATTACTGTATGAAAGACGACACACACAAGATACCACGAGACATGGCATGCGCATTCATCATGACACCTCCAGGACTGACTCAACGGCGCAGAGCCGCATGCACTCATATCAGTAAAGGCAAGCCATGATTGCCTCAATCTCAGACCCAGAGCCTAGCCATGGCAATACAAAACACCAAACGATGTGTACAACCTCGCCGCGCGGCCCTGATCTCTGTCCAACACCGTTACCATCAGTACCACGCCCATCACCACACCTTATACAACAACCCTAATCCTATTCCAGCCCTGCGCCTCGCAATATCTACTCGACTCAGCTCGCCATCGCGAGAATGTCTCGGCCCAACACCGTTACAACCACCATAATTCACCGAACGGCAATCCCAGGCGAAACCCACATCAAATTACGAAATCAGAACGCTTTGTATTCTATGAAGAAAATATCACTAACCCAAATATCGTTTTATCCAAATAGTTTTACTTCTTATCACTGACACTTTGTTTCCGCCGCAGCACAAAGTCCTTCATCCGCGACACGCCCCTCCAAAACGGCCCGTCCACATCAACACCATAAGCCTGCATCACAGAGAGCACAGCGTACGACTGCATCCACACCAGCACGATAAAGTCGAAGATGTGCACGAACCACCAGAAGTGCTGGCTTCCCAGCGGACACGTGGCGTACTCATACTTCCACTCCCAAGATTCCTGGTCGAACCAGAGACTCAGCAGACCGGCGTTTCCGCCAAAGTCGCCCATCATGCTGCGGACTGTGATCTCGCGTCGGCCCGGTATGCCATCGGTGCCTGGGATTTTCAGATCTTGTGCGTCGGACCAGGTTTTTACTTCCCATTGACGCTGGGAGGGGTCTGTGCCGTTTGTTTGGTTGATGTAGTGGTACGTGTCGCAGCCGGCGTGATCGTGGCCGTTGAGCATTAGACCTGCGCGGCCGTAGCCACCGCCTGGTGCAGTTCTCTTTGAGCTCATGCCCCAGATTCCTTCTAAGAAACCTCGGCTGGCATCAGAGCTGAGTTGATTTTGCTCCTTGAGACCTCCACCGTCTGCTGCAGTATGGAAGTCGAAGAAGGGAGCGTCAACGCAGATGCCTGCGGGCTTGTACATTGGGATATGCGTGAGGATCAGAGTGAATTGACCCTGGTATTGAACGGACCCTGCGGACGAAATGACGTTGTTGATGAAGCCGTACGTCGCATCCTGTAAAGGAAGAGACTTCGCCGGTGTATCAAGGTTCATATCGTTGACAGCAACAATGCGAAGCTCGGGAATGACTCGTTTCGACTCGGGGTTGGAATCAGAGTACATCGTAGCTATCGTTTCAGGGTCCGTGATGGGCAGCTCGAACCGCAGCTCATAGTTTGCCTTTCCAAAAACTCGTTCAAAGCGCTCCAATCGCTCCTCGGTCAAATCTCCAGCGTATCCAATATCGTGGTTTCCTGCCACGTTGAGCATTCTCTTCTTCCAGAGCTTAGCTTCATCACTACCATCCAAAACGCCAGAAATGTTGTAATCGTTACTCGGAGTTTGCGCCAGCTCGTCGGACAATCTCTCGGTACCCTTGAACACGCGGTTCCAGAATCGTCGGCCTCGCTTCTCAAACTCCTTGTCGTCGATCCATTGACTACCGACAAGATCGCCCAGTACCGATACATGGGTAGGGTTCGACCACCAGTTGACTTGACGGTAGATATGCGCCAGGTAAAAGTCGTTGCCCCATAGATCGAACCGTTTGCGCTGCGACATGAGGTAGTAGGGAAGATCCTCCATGATTATATCGACAATATCGTGTATGATCTTTCGCACTCGCTCGCGGAAGCACCAATGCGTCGTCTGAAACGTCACATGCTTGAAAACACTCTGCACATGAGGAAAAGTGCCCAGGTAGTTCGTAATAATCGAGGTATCACCTTCTAGCTGAGGATCTCCCAGCGCAAGGAGTCGAAAAGGCGCAAGCTTAGCATGATCGTCCGCAGTCGGCTTCGAAGGCCAGTGGAACTTCTTGGTCAAGTCATAAGCCTCCTGACTATCTCTCGACTCGACGGGGAATGCGCATCCCTGAACGATGGGGAAGATGTAGAGGTAGATTGTGAAGGCTATCGAGAGCGGCACCAGTAGGCCCAGGCCATGGCGGAGAAAAGCCACGACTTTCATGTAGTCAACCTCATGCACAAGCCACGTCGGTAATGTTTTAAAAAGGCCAACGGGACGTTGTTGGGAGCGGCGCAAAGGTTTGGTCGTGGAAAGGAGAGTTGGTGTTGGTCCCTGGTTTAAGGTCCTGTACCCCTGGAGAATTGACAACACGTGAAGTTTAAATGGCTTAGTCATGCGACAAGGACCCCTTTCTCAGGGAGAGCAACGCCGCATCATTGATTCAGCGAGTCATGTAAGACGGAATTGAAACAATGGCGAGTTCCTCTATTTTTAAAAATATGCTTGATTTTATTAGTTGTGGCGTCGTGATATTTCGATCAATGCGACCCAGATGCTTTGGCCTGCAATGTTACCTACCCCGATGATCTTTACCCAAGCTCAGCTCATCCTTGTTGGTCGTCATGTAAAGCGTTCAAATGGGTATCTACTTTAATATTTCTTTTCACATCTTCTCAGTAATTCTGCAGGCCCAGTAAGGCGTCGTACGACTATGCTCCTTCCATGAGAGCTCCGTGGTGTAGTCCTCAGGCGCGGTTCTCGACGCCAGCCTCGATCGTAGGTGTATCTTCCGCCCGGCATCAAGGGGAGACAGTACGCCGTCGCAGAAATGTAGTTGACTTCGCGTGGATCTGGAGATTCGCCCCTAAATCATTCCTCATACAGCTCCTCATCCTCCTTTGGCCACTCAACCTCAAACTCTGGCGCATCACCCTCCTCATCCAGCACCGCAAACGCAAGAAGACTGTTGTTCTTCAGTCCCAACGCTGTCGGTGTCTTCTCCCCATCACCCGTCTTGAGTTTAACCCACCCGCTCGAGGGGTCATTCGGCGTCTTTAATGCGCCAAAGGCAAGAGTTGAGTCTGTATCGAAGGTAGTCTTCTCGGAAGAGCCAAGCGACTTGGTAAGACCATCGGGGTATCGTTCGATCAGAACATTGAGGAGTTCGGTGGCGGCGCTGGAGAAGGGGGCGAGGGCGTCGATGAAGAGGTAGATGGTATGGATGCCGTGCTTGAAGCGCACCGAGATGTTTGCGTCATCAACATCAGTCTGGGGTATTGTTAGTATCGAAAGGCGTTAGGAAGTAAGTCGATCTGTGTAGTACCATTTTGTCGATCTTGTTTCGAAGGTTTGAGGAAGACGTCAGAGTTTAAAGCTGCCTCTCTCTGTTCTTCATGAGGGGCATTGAGGCTTTGAACGGCGGGGCGAATCGCGGCTCAGCTCGGCGCGACATCACGTGAGAGCGCGTAGATGGAGGGACACAGGCAGGATTTGAACGCTGTCACTCCATCAAGACGTATGGATATCCCAGCTTACAATGGTGTGCAGAAACGCTGTCCTATAAGAATTATACTATCGATACGTCATCTTCAAGGATTTGTGACAGCTCAGCAACAAGATCCAGGAACGAGAGCAAGGCATAAAGTGACAGCTTCTAGAAGCCGAATGCTACCCTGGAACAAGCACTGAAAATGGATGCCAAAAGAATCATCTGGCCAGCCATAGGGCGGAAGCTACCATTGACTCGAGGAAATGAGTAACTGTAATTCACTCCCTGAGAACTGGTCAACTCCATGGAATTTGTCTTAGGGTATTGAAACTGGCCATTTGAATTCCCAAACATTTTGACGACTGCAAACCTTGCATTTCGAGCTCCATGTGAATACAGACCGTGCGTGAATACTGTACTAATGCATGAGCGCACTGTCCATCATGACATGAGCCTCAAGTTCGCATCAGGCAAGCATCGAAGCGAAGTCAATTCAATTACATATTCAAATCTCACGATACAAGAACATATCTCTATCGGGCCTTCGCCTGTCATCTTTTTATTACCAACTCCAACCCCAAGCGCAACCCCTCTTCTTCATTACCGACTCCAAGCGGCGCCAAAAAATCAGCATCCACCGCCGGGATTGCAAACTCCGGCCGGTCTTTCGTTCTCCGCATCCCACCACCGAGACGAGACTCCACCAGCCGCAGAGCCTCGCGACAATCTCGGCCTTCTCTGAAAACAGAAGCGCAGCCTAGAAACAAGATATTCCCAGCTTCACCAAAATGGCCGCCGCTCCGTCGCCGACCCTGGCGCCGTCACCCCGGCCCGGGGCACCAATGCCCTCAGATCTAAC